ACCAGCAGATGGAACCTCCCTCCCTCCCTCCCTCCCTCCCTTCCCCTCTCCCTCCCTCCCTCCCTCCCTCTCTTGCTCTGCTTGTAACTCTGCTTCCCAAGTAAATAAACACATCTTTTAAAAAAAAAAAAAAAAAAGGTGAGGCTGTGTGAAAGAATGCTATGCAGGCTTTTTTAAAAAGAAGGAAAAACACATCTTATGCCGACATGGATCAATCTCCAAGAGTGTGCACCACGTGCTATCACTTCTATTGCAGAGAGGGGGAAGAACATTCCAGAATGGCAGAGAAAAGACCTCTGTGGAGCCAGCACTGTGACACAGTGGGTTAATGCCTTGACCTTAAGTGCCGGCATCCCACATGGGTGCCAGTTCGAGACTCAGCTGCTCCACTTCCAATCCAGCTCTCTGCTGTGGCCCGGGATAGCAGTGGAGGATGGACCAAGTCCTTGGGCCCCTGCACCTGTGTGGGAGACCTGGAAGAAGTTCCTGGCTCCTGGCTTTGGATCAGCGCAGCTCCAGCCACTGCGGCCAATTGGGGAGTGAACCAGAGGGTGGAAGACTCTCTCTCTGCCTCTCCTTCTCTGTGTAGCTCTGACTTTTGAACAAATAAATAAATCTTTGAAAAAAAAAAAAAAAAGACCTCTGAAAACCTGTCCCTCCCTAAAAGCAACAAGAACACCGACAAAGCCTGTCAAAATCAACTTTTCAGAACCCTGGAAATTAAGTGTAGCCCTTTGGGCCTCCAAGCTAGGGCCAAGCCAAGAGTCAGGAGCACAGGGCTATTGGCACTTCTGGTTTCCAGCGAGTTCCTAGGATCATCAGCATGTTGCACAAAAAGGCTTGCAACAATCTGAAGAGCAGCTACACAGAAAAGCAAATGAATCTCGGCCGCAAACGGCAAGCCTGTGAATAATTTTTTATGTATCTTTTTTATATGATCCTGATGGCTCCCGACTCTCCCGTACTGGGCTTTGAGCATTATCAAAGGCTGGGGGTTGGGGGACTGCATCTGACCTATTCACCATTATACTCCACCCCACCAGGCAAGCCCAAAACCAGCAAAACAAAATATCTGCTACCATGGTTTGGATATGGTTTGGGGGCCACTGAAGGTGCCTGTGTTAAAGGCTTGGTTCCCAAAACTCAGGGCAATGGTTAATGGGTTAATGTCAACAGTTAGCGGAACTTAGCTGCTGTAGGGCCTTGGGGAGGTTGCTGGGGTGGCTCCCCATGACTTTAATGCTGAGAGCCCACATAAGCACAGATGAGCATGTGCCTGTCTCTCTGCTTCCTGGCTCACTGTGTGACCCTTTCTCTCATGTCCTCCACCACCCACCGCCCTCATCAGATGCCAGACCCAGGGGGCCCCCAGACTTGGACTGTGAACCTCCAAAACCGTGAGCTAAATCCAACCTTCCTTTCTAAGTAATGTGCCCTAGGTATTTCACTGTAATGAAAAGCTAACACATCTGCCAACGCAATGGATGCACACTTCATGGTCCACTCCTGCCAGTCTCTGAAACGCTCCCCAGCGGGAAGACCAGACTGTTCCCTCTCACAAGGGGGCAACTCTACAATTCTGACGCCTGGAAGGGACCGTGTCGTTTCAATGCTGCAGGTCTCAGAGAAACGGGTGGTTTAAATGTGAAGACCGGGAAAGCTCAGCCAGTCTAGCTGAGATGTCCTGCTCTGTAGAAAGCGTCCTGCCCCAGCGCGGAGGGATAGGGGTCGGTACCTGCGGGAGGTGGAGGGGACCCGGTGGTGGTCAGTGCCGGGCTCCTTCACGAGGTTTCCTTTGCAGCAGATGACCCTGACTTTATCCTGGTACGAGGACGCCAGGTAAATGGCTCCCGAGGAGATGGCGGGGCCCAGGTAGCGTGGGTTTGGGATTTCCAGGTACGCTCGAGCAGGGGTCCTGCAGAGTTGCAGACCAGAGTTCAAGTCCATCATAGGTCGTACGTCCATCGCGAGGCAAGTGAGGAAGAAACACACACCCGGACCCATGGCTAGGGTTTTCAAAGACAGAAGGGCAATGCTTACCCCAGCGAGGAGCGCGCCTGGATCTCAATAACTTCCAGTGAGTTGAAGTGGGTCACAAACAGGTAGGGTTCTCTGTAGGCTGCGTGGGCACCATGGAGGAAGAACATGGGCAAAGAAGGGTTGGAAGAGGGAAAATTAAAGCCTGGCTAGATGCGGTTTTTGACCCAACGATCCCATATGAAGGAATTTATCCTGCAAACACACACACGTGCCTGCATGATCGTGCAGTGTCGGGCTTATTCGGTCACACGGTCCGTTACAGCAGCACAACTCATCTGGGTATTACAGGGGAGCCACTGAATTCCGCGGCTGAGTCTGGAACTGGGCACAGCTGTGAACTGCATAAAGCCACTTTCTATGTACTGATATGGAAAAATACCCAAGGCTCATTGTTCAGTGCATAAGCAAGGATCAGAATAATACGTAAGGACCTACCTTACTGGTTCAAAAAAATGCAGGGATCAGAATGTGTATTTTTACGTGTTGTATTTGGGTAAAGTACTGGAAGCATAAGAACCTCCTAAGCTGAGGAGCAGGAGTGGCCTGGCAGGACAATGCTGCCCACGTCCCACACAGAACGCCTGGGCTCTGCCCAGCCCCAGCGCCCAAGTCAGCAATCCCACTAATGCAGAGCCTGGGGGAAGCAGCTGGTGGCTTAAGTAGCGAGGCTCCTGTCACCCACAAGGGAGACCTGGACCTGATGATCTCAATGAGACTTCTCACTGAGTACCTTTTTAAACCATTTGATTGTAAACAACTAAAAAAAAAAATGACAAAGATGGATTTCGGATGCTGAGCTCTTTTTGGTCATCTGAGTAGCCTGTCTCTGTGTCACAGTGTCACTGAAACTGGAGTGGTCACGGCTGGAGCTATCTCCCGTCTGGAAGAGAACAGGCCGTGGGCACGGCCGGGCCTCCTGCGCCACCATGTGTCAGACTGCCGCTCGTGCCTCCCTGTACTCGAGCCCCGCACGGTCTCCTTGCCTGGAATCTGGGCTGACTCTCAGGCCTGCTTTGGCCAACAGAATGTGGTGGACGCAAAAGCTCTGTCTACTTCGCCTTCTGGACTCCCACAGGAGAGGAGCGAGGCCTCCGGCTCCCAGTCCCAGCGGAGCACCCACCTGATGCCCAGCACCGAAGGCCTGCCCCGTTTGTGAGCCCATTTGGGATGTTCTGGTGGCCTCAGAGTCCCTGCTAAGACTGCGAGAAGCAGAAGGGTGCAATCCAGCCGCCGAGTCTCGGGCACTGACAGACAAGCTGTTTGAAGTCTCTAGGTCTTGCCATGGCTTGCCATGCAGCGACAGCCACACAAAACAGGGTACTGTGGCCAAACCGCAGCCAGACCGAAGGCCGCAGAGCCCTAACAGTATTTCAGAATACTCACATTCACAGATATGTGGGGACGCGTTTGCATGGATGCATTTCCTCCTGAACCCAGCCAGCCCACGTTTAGTGACTTACGATCCCACAGGACAAGTGTGCAGAGAGCAGTACAAAGATGCTCACGCTTACCAAAGGACTGAGCAGGACCCAACTGCTCTCCTAACCAAACTCATTCATTAACAGCCTGGCCAGGCCGTGGATTACCAAGAAGCCTTTCCAAAGTGACCGAAATGCACAGGGAAGGTTCTCCGTTCTATCAGGGGAGCCCAGCGGTATCTCTCAAGGCTGGGAAGGCATCTGCCTCCTCAGACGCCTTGCCAGGAACACTTCCTCGGTGACCGTGACGCTGGGTGCTTGGGGTCTAATGGAACCCACAAGCACAGAGCTCACAGCAGAACTCCACCTGCAGGTCCCTCCCAGGACACCGGCTCCTGCACCACACCTCACCTACCGAAGGCCAAGGGCAAGCGGCTCCACTTGAGGTCATCCGTGCGGCTACGCCTTCCGTAAGAATCCACGAACACCCCAAATTCTGTAAGGTGCGGAGAGCACAGGGACGTGAGCACAGCGTGTGGGTGACACTGTGGCGAGGACAAGCAGCAGAGCCCAGGGGATGCCGGCCAGGGTCACTGGGCTGTGCGACCCAAGGCCCGCGGCAGGGCCAGCTCTGTCTTATCAAAAAATTGGGGAATTTTTTTTTTTAATTTACTAAGGTTGCTTTACTGTCTTAGGCTTTATCAAAGAAAGAGTTCAAGTGCAGGGCAGAAGGGGAGTAGGACGGGAAAGGGGAGAGATGGAGGAAGAGATGGGGTGCGGGGCAGATCCAGGGGTCAAAGGTGGCAGGGAAAGAGAGTGAGGAAGGACAAGGAGCGAGCCAGGCAAAGGGGGAAGGAATGTGTGGGGCTGGACCCGGCCAGTGCCCGGATGTGGGCAGAGGGGCCCCCAGGGCCTCGGTGGTGCCAGAAGGACACTCCCTGAACGCCCAGGGCCCCCCAGCCACCCCCAGCCCCAGTAGGCCCAGGCTGGGCTTCCTGGCGTCCCAGAGCCCCCCCGAGAGCAGCCATGACCCACCGTGGAAGCACAGCAAGTACTCCTCTCGCTGCCCTGCGCCGTTCACCTGCACGATCGAGACAGGGAAGCTGTTGGACGAGGAGGCAAACACAGCGGGCGCCAAGGAGTGGTCGTTCTTATCCAGGAATTCTGCGAAGGCGAGCGAGAAGCGGGGCTTCAGCCACAATGTGCCGTGACTCCCAGGGAGGCCGGGCCGCGCGTGGGGTCAGGGAGGGGACACAGATAGTCACGCCATGCCATGCTGTGACTCCCAGGGAGGCCGGGCCGCGCGTGGGGTCGGGGAGGGGACACAGATAGTCACGCCATGCCATGCTGTGACTCCCAGGGAGGCCGGGCCGCGCGTGGGGTCGGGGAGGGGATGCAGATAGCCACGCCATGCTGTGACTCCCAGGGAGGCCGGGCCCAGCGTTAGGGTTTGGGGAGGGGGAGCAGAATGGCCACGCCTTGCCCGTGACTTCCCAGGGAAGGCCGGCCCGCCCGTGGGGTTGGGGAGGGGGACGCAAAATGGCCACAGCCATGGCGGTGACTTCTCAGGAAGGCCAAGCCCGCGCGTAGGGTCGGGAGGGGACGCAGATGGCCACGCCATGCCGTGACTCCCAGGGAGGCCGGGCCGCGCGTAGGGTCGGGGAGGGGACGCAGGCCCTACCCTCGAGCGTGTACTGTTTCATGTCGATCTCGTAGAATTTGTTGGTTCCGATGAGGATACTGTAATTGGTGAAGTGGATACAGCTGCAGGGCTCTGAGGTCTCGATCTCCTGGACCAGGAGGAGGAGGAGGAGGGCGTGAGAGCGAGCACAGGGCCACCCCGCGTCCCCGCTGTTCTGCGTCTGCAGTCACTATTCCTGCACACAGTTGCTAGCCAGACTGGTTCGCGCTGTCACACACAGCCCATCACCAGGCGGGCCTCTCAGGGACCCCGATGGCCTCCTACGATTGCTCTTTGCAAACCCAGACTAAGAAAATCACAGCCCCCAGGGGTCAGAAGCACCGTTTCCGTGAGAGGACACAATGCAAACAGCACTACATTCTTATCAGAGGGAAAAAAAGACCGGGAAAACACTCCAGCTGTTCGAGTCGTGGCTTAGCTTCCTCCTGCCTGGAAGTTCCCAAGGAGAGACTATCACCCACTACACCCATCACCATCGTCATCCTACGTATTCCCACTTATTGTTCTAGGTCAATCCTAATGTCACCAAAGCACCAGGCACGCTCATTCCACATGGTGGCAGCAATGACTTCTGGGAAGCTTCCAGAATCTAAACCCAAACAAGACGCAACGCTCACCACCACTGGGTATGCACTGTCACCTACTAAGCAGGCAGCATCACACAGGGAAAGAATAGGGAAAATCAAACTACAGCTTGAGGCTCAACTTTGTAACTCAGGGTCTCCCCAGCCTCAACTGCCTCACCTGGAAACCGGATATTACCCCGCTGCTGCTCAGAACCACGCAAAAGTGTTCAAAAGTGACCAGCTGGGTTCCCGGGACCAGTGGGCACTCGGTAAACACACCGCCTGAGCCAGCGGCCTCCACCCGGAATGAAATCATTTCTCTAAGAAGCAGCGCCCCCTGTTTATGGTCCTGCGCCCCTCCTCTCCCTTGCAGGACTAATCACGAGCACGCCTGAGAGAGACCAGGCTCAGGACGGGCAGAAGGCGCTTACTCTCAGCAATGCACGCTCTCTCCAGAACCCAGTCAGAGTTACTGGTCTAACACGCGCCTTGTCCACAGCGCAGCCCCCATCACACTCACTCTGCTCCCCCGTTACGAAGCAAAATACGGCTGGGACAGGCTTTTCCAAAAGGTGATTCGCAGACTCCTCCACGGTCTGAGGAAGCTTCTGACAAGTCCCACCCGAACTGCTAGGTTCCTGGAAGAGCCCCTTCCTTTCCTCCCTGATTCTAAAGAAACCTCTCCTCCACCGGCCAGCTCTCGGCCTTAACAAAAGGCTGGAAGGAGAGGCAGCTCCCAAACAGGAGAAGCAAACTGAGCGAGCAGCAGCTCTGGAGGCCTCTCCAGCAATGGAGGGTCTCACCCTGCAGGGCTCAGCCCAGGCTGAAGGCCCTGGCGCACGCGGACCCCCGAGCCGGCACGTGCAGGAGGGGTGGCGGCTGGGCCGCGCGGGGACTCACTTTGCGGATGCAGTACTTGCTGAGGTTCTCGTTGTAGCGGAGGATGACGACTTTGCTGGGCATGGCTGCACAGATGCAGAGCCCGTTGTCAATCTGAAAAGCAATCGGAGAAGAGGGAAGGAGCAACCCCCCGGGTTGCCAGCTCTGAAGCAGAACCAGGAGAGGACGTGGGTTTGGAGCGGGGCGTCGGCCTCAGCACCACTGGCCGCGTGCAGCTGATCGCTGTGCGCACCTGCCGCCCGGCTGTGACAACCGAAAGCGTGGCCCAGCGTTGCCACATGCTCAGGGACGGCAGGACGGCCTCAGGCTGGGAACCACTGCTCTACCTGGGATCCAGAAAAGGCCACGGGGCCCCTGACACCGCACTTTCTGTGTGTGCCTTTTTGCTGGAGATTCTTTTGACAGCCTTAACCTACAGGGCAGGATGAGGGAGGGGAGAGGGAAGGTGGTAAAAATTGCTGTAACATGGGGCTTTTACAGTACGGCAGCTTAAGCCGCTGCTTGCGACTCCAGCATGCCGTATCAGGGCATCGGTTCAAGTCGTGGCTGATTTGCTTCTAATCCAGCTCCCTGCTGATGCACCTGGGAAAACAGTGGACGATGGCCCAAGTGCCTGAGTGCCTGCCACCCACACAGGAGACCCAGATGGAGTTCCTGGCTGCTGGCTTTGGCCTAGCTCAGCCCCAGCCTCTATGGCCATTTGGGGAGTGAACCAGCAGATGGAAGATCTTTTCCTATCACTGTCCTTTCCTCTCTCACTTTGCCTTTCAAGGTAAAAAAGGAAAAAGAGGAGGAGGAGGAAGAGGAAGAAGGAGGAAGAAGAAGACAAAGAAATTGCTATAAGAATTTAAGAGAAAATGTCAGTCCACAGGAAAAGTTCTTAGCTAAGACCTGTATAAACAGCTCTTTCATCAAAACTGTGGGGAGCAACTCAGACTAGACTAAGTTACTGGAATTAAGACTTATTCTATGCATCTGCTCTCCCACAATATGGTGCTGGGAGAGGAGGAAACAGCTTCTACACAGCTGCCTCCAGTTCAACCAATAAACTGTAGGACCTGCTCCTGATTGGAGGAGAGCAGCATACTCGGCGTGTGGGTAGCAGAGTTGGGATTGGTGGAAGAGGACTATAAAGGAGGAGAGAGACAACATGCACCAGGAACATCTATCTGAAGGAACACCTGTGCAGCCCCCGAGAGAGCCGGCCGGCGGTGTGCCGCTCCCCCACGGAAGTGGGGAAAGTGGCAGGGGGAACCGCCCTTCCACAGAGGTGGAAGGGACGGTAGCCAACCCGGGAAGAACCAGCAGCAAACCCGGGGAGGGCTGAGCAGACAAAAGAACAGCACAGGGTCCTGTGTCGTTCCTCCACGAAGAGGGGGAGTGACAAAAACTCTTTTTCTACAACCAGATTCTTATCATTTACCAAGGATGCAAAGAGGCTCACACTCAAATCAGCCCAGAAATGAAGGCTGGCAGCTGGGGCGGGGTGTGTGTGTGTGATGAGACAAGATGAGATGGGGGAGAAACACGTGAAAAAGGAAATTGTAGTAATTTTCCATTTCTTAGGTTGGGCAGTGGCCTTGTCCAGGACATCATCAGGCTTCATGATTTCTATATATGTTCCAGGCATTTTTTGAGCATTTCGTAAATTATAATGCAAATCATGTTTAATTAAAAAAACTGATTTTTGGAAACTGAAGCAAACATTTCTAAGTAACTCCTTACACACAAAAGAAACCATAAGAGACATTTTTAAGTATTTGAAATGATAATAAATGTATCCATACAAAAGTCTGCTAAGTGTAATAATGACAGTAGTAGTGAGAGGAAAATACATAGCTTAAAAAATGTTTATAGAGGGAAAATACCCTAAAAATTAATGAGCTAAAAAAATTAGAAGAGAGGAAAGACAGAAAAATGAAGGAAGAAAAACAAAGATAAACATAGGAACTAATGACAAATAAAATAATGCTGTACTAAAAAAATAACAATCATGCTATACTGGAGACAATCAATGCAGCTCCAAGGCTTTCCTTTGCAAAGATTAATAAAATCAAATTAGAGCTACGGCCTAAGTAGTAATAGAGATGAAAACAGTGACTCAAAGAAAACACAGAAAGAACATCAAGTAGGAGCAGAGGCACACACGCCTGTCTTGTCACCCCCTTTGTAACTGGTTTCCTCCAAGACAAGCGCTCTCACAGGAAGCCTCCCTGTGCCAGCCGCGCCCTCACTCCACCTTCTGACCCTCTGTTCTGATTTGCCACAATTTAATACAGATATCCCTCAACTTCCCATGAGGGGACAGCCCAATAAGCCCATTATAGGTTGAAAATACCTTCAGTCAAAACCGCACTGCGCACACTAACCTGACAAGCATCCTCACTTAGCCCAGCGTACCTTACCCGTGCTCAGGACACCCCCGTGAGGGCCCCGGCACTACCCTCTTCACCCACCAAGAACCCGGGGAGATGGAGTCTCCCAACAGAGGCCCCCGTGGCTGCCAACACCCCCTCCCCACCCATTCATGAACCCCTTGGAATAGAAGACTCTGAAGGCCCGGTCAAGGTTATGGAATGTTCCAGTAAACGCTGAGCAAGCATGGGAGCTGACGCTCAGTAAGCAGTCTTGCAGGGCGCAGAATGCAGAGTGGCTGTCAACAGTGGGACCCCAGGAGCCTCGGGGGCTCTGCCAATGCCGGGCTCAGATTTCAGTAAGGTTATATACGGAGGTGTGTATACTCCCCAAATTACTCCCAATTTCTTTTAATGAAAAAAAAATCACTTATTTGAAAGGCAGAGAGACAGAGACACCGGGAGAGCTCTCCCATGACTGACTCCCCAAATGCCCACAAGGGCCGGGGCTGGCCCATGCCAAAGCCAGGACATGGGAACTCCATCCAGGTCTTCCATATGGGTAGCAGGGACCCAACTGCGTGAGCTCCTACCAGCTGCCTCCCAGGGTGTGCATTAGCAGGAAGCTGGAATCGGAAACAGCTGGGACCCAAATCAGGTCCTCTGATACGGGACGTGAGTGTCCCAAGTGGTCTCCTAAGCACTTCACCAAGTCACAGCCTGAAAAGAAACATTTTGAAGATGACAAGCAAATACATGTTCCAAGACGTTGGAAACTTTGAAAAAATTCACTGGAGTCCCTCATGACCTGATTTTATGTTACATAAATGTCCTACATTAGAATCTGTAAGTTTCTATCATTGAAACCTCCTTTCATCCAGTTCAGACATGCGGTTCCATGTTAGACTAAGAAAAAAGAAGCTCACGACACACACTCACACACACACACTTTTTTAAACTATGGATTATCCTTTTAAGTTGGTTAATCTCTTTCTCATTCTTCTCATAGATTTCATTCACATTCAAAAGCGCTACAGACTTCATGGCTGTGTAAATTATCCCACGTCCCTAAAGGCAGCAACAGGAGTTTAGGCCAGTCTGCGGACGCAGGACTTGCAAGGTCCAAGGCCAGACCCGCAGGCAGGACAGCGGGTTTCAAGAACATTCTGCCAGCAGAGGAGCCCCCGAGAAGCACCTACCTTGCCTGCAGCAAACAAGTGGCAGCCCTTGACGGCTTCGAAGACGTTGGGCGAGATGTCGGGCTGGGCGGGCAGGTGAGCCTGCGCCAGGGACTGCTTCACTTTCTTCACGTCCACGAGACACAGGGCCCGCTCTTCTCCTGGGGGTGGGGGTGGGGGTGGGGGAGCAGCCTCTGGTCAGTGCGAGGCCCATCAGCAAAGCCACGCAGGCTGCTCTCTCTCTAGTCACAGGTGGAAACCAGGGGGCCCGCCCAAGCTGAATATTATTTCTTAGAAATAGCTGGGACCGGAAGCGTATCAGATTTTGGATTTTTTTTTTCTGACATTGGAATATGTGCATCTACGACATGAGGTTATCTTGGGGATGAGACCCACATCCAAACACAAAATTCACTTGCGTTTCACTGACACTGTGTACACGTGGCCTGCGGGTCATTTCCACCGCATTCTTAGTGCACCTGCATTTCGATTAGGCCCACCCCACAGGGTCAGGTGTCAAGGAGGTCAAGAAGGTTTGGGTTTGGAGCATTTTGGATTTTCCGACTAGGAATGCTCAACCTTGTTAACACATGCTTGGCCCACGTTGCGGATCCAAGACTGTTAAACGTTTGGGCTTCCTGTCAAGATTCTAGGAGGTGAAAATGCCACAGACGTAACACTGGACGCGCGAGCTGTGCTTGCAAACAGCTCCCCAGCAAAGGACAGGGAGACTGCCACGAGGGGACCGTCTACACAACAACAGGCGTGGCTCCTCCCACAGCCGGATGCCACGCAAGACCTAAGGCAGCTGAGGAAGGGCCGCAGGGTGAAGAAGGCATGATTAAATGCAGCGCACGACCTCGGGCTGTACCACGAATCGGGAAAATCAGTGCTAGGAAGGACATTACCAGGGCCACAGGCAGCACATCCAAGGATTGTATTACAGCAAGGGTTACACCCCCTGAATGCAAAAACCGTACGACGTGAAATCCATTCCAAGTGTAGGACAGCACGGTGGTGAGTGCGCCATCACACTTGTGCGTTTGTCAAAGCCCTCAGCACGCACAGCACCGGGACTGAACTGGAGCCCAACGCAGCTGTGGGGGACGGCGCGTCAGCCCTGCCACTCTGTGGTGGGAGGGGCTGCTTGGACGTGGAGGGAGGGGCCACTGGGAAACGTCCATGCCCTCCCCTCAGCTTTGCTTTGAGTCTAAAACTACTTGAGAGGAAAAAAGGGGGGGCAGGGGAAGATGGAAACACAGAGTCCCTGAAATAAATGACTGTGGATGTTTTGAACATTGAGCCAAAATAGGACTATTTTTCCCTAAAAGAAAGCAAAACAAACTGTGCCATGGTTATGTAAAAAATGCCATTGCTCTTTGGCTGATAAGCTGAAGAACTTGGGCTCCTAGCAGCAACTAACTCCCACTGAACCATTTGGTTCAGAAAAAGGAGAGAGAGGACAAAATGAAAGAAGGCAGAAGAGAGGTTCGGGAGCATCCACAGACGTCGGGGAGGACACACGGGAGCAGTGTCACGGCCCTCAGTGGCACTGATGTAATTAGGGCAAAAGGTTGGCGCTGAATGAGGCTTTGAGGCGCGGCACCCTCCACCTGACACGACGGGGAGGTGTTCTGTGCGGGAGTCAGACTGCGCTAATCTGGACTCCAGGGGGAACTGAATGTGGACAGAGTCCATCAGCCAATGCCTGACTTCACCAGGGACAGAGGGGGAGCCCCTGCCTTTGTGTTTCCCAAGCCTGACACTGGGCTTAGCATGCTGCTTCCTCTAAAGGCAAAGAACAAGCGCCAGGCCCTTGGCCTTGCACCTGCTATCATGAGAAGCTTCTCCAGGTCCTTGATGATATAGATCTGGAAGACCGCTCCGATTCCTGGGACGTGGGTCAGGGAGTTTTTCAAGACATTCAGGGCATACAGTCCTTCCTCGGTGCCCACCAACACCACCTGCAGAGAAGCCCAAGGGCAGAAAGTAAGCACACTCGGGTGGCCGGCACAGGGGGCCCTCCCCTGCTGTTGGGGTCCTGAAGGCTTCACCTGGTCGCTGAAGGGCAGCGTGCAGTTCATGTCCAGCCGGTCGTCACCTTCCAGTTTCAGCAGGGAGTTCCCCAGCCATTTCTTTTTCGTACATGAGGGGAAAAAAAAAATGAAACGAGACACAGTGAGACGGAACTGCTGGGGACCAGACCAGGCAGAGAGACGAAGTTTAAAGCGAGCTACTCCTGCAGAAACAAACAGCTGCTCCTGCCTCGCCCCCTATTTTGATCTGCGCTGCAAAGCTGAGACACGCGTGGTGCTGGTGTCCCAGGGCTGCCTGTTAATTAGCACAGAGGCGTAACTGAGCCGGGATGCAGACAGGCGAGTGTGGTCAGTACAGAAACTTATCCCATAATGGGAAATAAGCTGAAGCCAAGAAAGGTCCCAGCTGCAAAGTGTTAATAAGCTGCATGGCCGGCTCCTCCCCCGCCCCCTGCTGCAGCAGGAATGCAGAGGTGTCAGAAGCACACCAAAGCGCCTTGGATCTCGGTACCTGAACCCACGCAGGCAGAAGCTCCAAGATAGTACTGTCCCGGGCCTATTGCACACACAGTAACGTGCATTTCAGTAAAAGGCTCACGTGGGGAGCAATGAAACAGGTCAGCTAAACAGGTCTGCCCAAGCCTTCTCAGGAGGCTCGTGGTTAAGACTGTTCTGATCCCTAAACCCTTAAATCATTAGGAAGGAGCCAAGTGCCTGCAAGGAGCTGTTGGGTGTTCGCGGGGCCAGTGAGTGACGAGCACTGTTTGTATCTCGGAACGTTCTAGGGGGAGGCATGCCAATCACAGCACACCTACGTCCTAAGTCTTAGGCATGAGCAGGATTTCAAAGCTGCCCACAGAGGGGCAACTGCTGCAGCAGCAAGGGAGGTTATGAAAAGCCCTCCCGAGGCAGGTGGGGCTGCCAGGGCCCCAGAGCTCGGAACTCAAGCCTTCCACCCAAAGGGACTCAACCCAGGAGCAGGAGAGGGCACGTGCTCTTCCATACGTGGCGGCTGTATCGCCATAACCAAGCCCTCTCGCGCCCAAGAGTCAGCTCTGGGTGCTGACTCCCCCATTCTAAAGGGCTGCAGAGACAAGCTGGGGACGTGCCGCCCGCTGCCTCTGAGCCTGTCCCCAAAACCCCCGGTCAGGCCTGCGGTCCGGAGCCATTACCCCTCAGGGAGGGAAGGCGAGGTGGCTGCCGGGACCCCCAAGGTCAGCTCAGCGCAAGTCCACCCCTTCACAGAGACCAAGCTCCGGTGCCCATTCTCATACTCACGGCATCGGCTTCGGCCTTCTCCCTAGAAACTCTCCCACCTGCGACCACCGACTCCAGGGCAGTGACCCAGCGCTGCTTGTCAGGGAAGCTGGGAGCTAGCAAGTAGAGGGTCCTCCCGGGCCAACAGGTGGTGTGCGGGTGAGACTCCATCTTCAGGATATACGGGACATCTAGGAGATTTCATAGAGGGAACCGGATTGGGTGTGGGTTTCCTCCTCACCACTGGGAGGGATGCCCACCCCACCAGGTGCGCCCCAGCCCCAGCCACTGCTGAGCCGAGAGCTGAGGAGGGAGTGCCCCCTGTGGCCCCAGCCCGGCCCCGGCTCCCCCTCACCTGCTTTGGCTGTGTTTGCGAGTTCAGAAGCACCAACGGCCCCGTGGATAGAAACGTCCCCGTCGGGAAGGCACAGCTCAAATTCTTCCACCGGCCTCTGTCCAGCTTGGTGCAAAGAGGAAGGGCAGAAAGAAAAACAAAAGAACAGGGACAAGAACGAGGGGAGAAGAGAGCGAGAGAGAGCGAGAGAGAGACAGGGGACGCGAGTGAAGACAGGCGCACGAGAACAAGGGAAGGAGAGAGGTGTGCAGAGGAGGCAGAGAGGGAAGATAAAAACAAAACAAAGTGTGTCAGATGGGTAGCACAGTGAAATTTCTGATGACGATGCGGATTTATGGGTTAGTTGGCTGAGGCGGAAGTTCCCGGAAGGTGCATTAGCAGGTGGAATCTTCAGGGCAGCGCCCTGCGGGTCCTTCGGGGGGGAGACCTATAGATGTGAGTATCGCACCAATAACCTTTAGAGAAGTCACTTGCTTTCACTTCTCAAAAATGGGAAAGCGTAGAAGGCTCGCGAGGCAGTCCAAAAACAAACAAACAAAAAAACAAAAACACAAATCAACCGGAGCCTTCACGCCCACGCCGGGAGGCCTGGTGAGCCACGTGCACTCAGAGTCCCCCTGAATTCTTCAGTTACCTTCTCGGGCTTCGCTGTCGTAAATGAGGACTTTGGATCCCTCCAGGACAATGTACTTCCTGTCCCAGCCTTGCTGTCCTCGCTTGTTATTCCTGGGGGAGAGCGATGGAAAAGAAACACGTGTGAACTCCGAAGAGCCAGGCTGGAAGCAGGGGTGGTGAGGGGAGAACCCCAGAAGAGACACTCCCCTGGGACACATCAGGGGAGGAAGGGGCTTGCGGCCTTCCGTGCCAGCACCCGCCCTGCCCAGCCGCCCTGCAGCGGTACCTGGGCACCTTCATCCACCCCTCCAGGTGCAGGCTGCTGCTGGGCTCCTTGGCCTGGAGACCCGGGGAGTTCATTTTGTCACGGCAGAAGGCCTCGGTGAAGTGCGTGGCGTATTCGGCGGGCAGGCCGCAGGTGGCAGGCAAGCAGGTGGAGCACTTGGGATGACACATCACCTGGCACTCTAGGGAGGAGCAGTGAACAATGGCTCAGCTGGGCCTGGACGGCTCCCTGCCTCCACCAACCAAGCCCAAGGCTTCCCCTCACCCCCCACCCCTAAGTCTGGCCCTAGCATCCAGGTCATCACTCAGCTTCCCCGGCTGCCGGGCCCCTGCAGGCAGGAAGGAGGAGCCAAGTGCTCAGGACCTGCTTTTCCTGACTTCAACCCAGGTTGCCCACAAACAGGTGTGCAAAGGACATGTCCACAAGTACTGGCTGGGGCCAGGCAGGGAGAGACCAGCCCGACAAGAGGGGCTAGAAATGAGCCAGGGCCGGGCACGCTGCAGCAGGCACGGGTCCTAAGCTGAAGACAGACACATGCTCGCGGCTTTAACAAGGAGACAGCGTGCTCCCACTGAGGTGAACGCAGTAATGCTAGGGAGTGCAGGGCACGGCAGCTGCTCCTGATGGCTCTTTCAGATGGAGACCCCCGGGGCCCTCGCCAGCGGCACAACCGCAGCTCTCACCGAGACATTTGGATGCTTGGCGTCCGAAGTGCACTGTGTCCAGACACACGGCGCACTTGGTGGCTCGCATGTTCAGGCCCACGTTAAACCGGTGAGGGATATTGTGGTGCATGCGCTCCTTAAGACGCCGGCTAAATTCTGGAGGAAGACAGTTTTTAAATCATTACAGCGCTGCAAACGATGCCGTCGAGGAGGGAAAGACAGCCCGCAGAGGGAGAAGAAACATCTGCCCCTTGGGAGGCCCGCCTCCCAGTATCGGAAGGCTTGGGTCCGAGTCCGGCTTCCTGCTGCTGCAGACCCTGGGAGGCAGCAGGGATGGCTCCAGTGGTTGGATCCCTGGCACCCACGCGGGAGACCTGGGTGGAGTTCCCAGCTCCCGACTTCAGGCTGGCCCAGTCCCACCGTTGCAGCATTGAGGGAGTGAACCAGCCCATGTGATTTCTTGTTTTCGCTCTCTCTCTTTCCTTGCTTCTCAAATTTTTCCAGAAGAGGGTGGGGCCACTGGGCTTAAACAGTATTTCCCTAAAGAGTATAAATAAAAGGCTAACAAGCATGTGGAAAAAAACCTCCTATCGTTAGTCATCAGGGAACTGCAAATCAAAGCCCCAGGGAGAGGCCGCTTCCGAGCGGGTCGGTGAAGATGTGGAGGAGCCACCACTCTCATCCACTGCCGGTACGAACGTAAAACGGTGCAGCCACTGGGGGACCTCGTCTGGCAGTTCCTCAGAACTGCCCCACGGCCCAGCAATCCTACTCCTGGGTTCACACCCAAGAGAGCTGAAAACCGATGTACTCAAAAATATGTGCATAGGCCGGCGCCGTGGCTCACTAGGCTAATCCTCCGCCTGCAGCTCCGGTACCCCAGGTTCTAGTCCCGGTTGGGGCACCAGATTCTGTCCCGGTTGCTCCTCTTCCAGTCCAGCTCTCTGCTGTGGCCCAGGAAGGTAGTGGAGCATGGCCCAGGTCCTTGGGCCCTGCACCCCATGGGAGACCAGGAGGAAGCACCTGGCTCCTGGCTTCGGATCAGCGCAGCGCACCGGCCATAGCGGCCATTTTGGGGGTGAACCAATGGAAGGAAGATCTTTCTCTCTCTAACTCTGCCTGTCAAAAAAAAAAAAAAAAAATATGTGCATAAATGTTTCTAACAGTACAACTGATGACAGCCAAAATGTAGGAACGCCAAATGTCCATGAAGGGGTTTGTGGACACACAAGATGTGCTACCTGAGGCCGGCCAGTGGGGCTGGGGGTCTGTGGGCCCCTTCAGATGAGTTAGAATGCCCTCCACAAGCAGGCTGTCTGCTGTGGCTGGAAAGCCTGCCTCCAGGCCAGCCGGCATCTCCCCTCTAATAGCTTCCCGTGCTGCCTGTGTGACCTTGCAGCTTTACATCACACCTTCAGGGTGGCTGCAATCTTCCTCAGAGCTGGCAGGGGAAGGGGCTGAGCACCTGGGCAGAGCTGGACCGGCTCCGAGAGACCCTGGCCATCTCATATGACCTTGCAGCTTTCAATCATTCTTCAAGCTATTCAAGCTAGTTGCAATCTTCTGCCCAGAGCTCGCAGAGGAGGGGGCTGAGCCCCTAAGGAGACACAGTCTCCAGGAGGCCTCTGCTATCTCCTCGAGCCCCAAGCCAATCAGCATACGTATGTGAAACCCCCTGTCCATGGGCACCCCCAGTAGGATGACCCAATGAGCAAACAGTAATGCCTTAAAACCGGGGGCACTTCCTCAAAGCCAGTGTCCTGCTCAGGCACTCCGCCCGGACTCCTCTCGGACCAGACGCTTTCTCTGTCGCTTGCCAATTGAATAAAAGTTTCTGCCTCTTTGCAAATTGCTTCCCGGCTTTTTATTTCTATACTAAGCTGAAGAAAAGAACCCAGGAGACTCACTCTGGCAACCGCCCTCCCCTGCATGACCGGTGACACTATCTATGTGAGAAAATATTATTCAGCCAGAAAAAGAAATGAAGTACTGACCAATGCTACAGCACAGATGAACCTCAAAAACATGCTGAGAAAGAAGCCAGACATGTAGGGCCACATGTGGCATGAGATCATTTATCTGCAACGTCCAAAAGAGCAAACCCATGGAGACCCCGAGCAGAGCAGAGGTCGCCGGGGGCTGGGTAGAAAAGAAATGACTGCTAAAAGGCGCAGAGCTTGTGACGTTAGTTTTGCAGGGTTGGTGGGATGAGCAAAAATGTTCAAAAATCAAGGCAGGGGCCAGTGCTGAGCATAGTGGTAAAGCCGCCGCCTGCAGTGTTAGCATCCCATACAGGCGCCAGTTTGAGTCCCAGCTGCTCCACTTCCCATCCAGCTCCCTGCTAATGCACCTGGGAAAGCAGCTGGAAGACAGCCCAAGAGCTTGGGCCCCTGCACCATATGGGAGACCCAAAAAAGCTCCCGGCTCCAGCCCGGCCCAACCCTGGCTATTGTGGCAATTTGGAAGGTGAAATAGTGGATGGAAGGTATCTCTCTCTTCCTGCCTCCCTCCCTCTCTCCCTCCCACTCTGCCTTTCAAATAAATAATTTTTTTTTTTTTTAAATCGGGGCAGGCATTGTGGTGCAGCAGGCTAGGCTACCACTTGGCACACCGGCATCCCATGTCAGAATGCCTGGTTTGAGTCCTGGTTTCTCTGCTTCCCTCTGATCCAGCTCCCTGCTAATATTCCTGGGCACAGAGCAGAATTCTGATGCCCCAAGCATTGGGGCCTTGCACCAATGTAGGAGACACAGATGGAGTTCCTGCCTCCTGGCTTCAGCCTGGCCCAGCCCTGGCTATTACGGGCATCTGTGGAGTGAACAAGCAGATGGAAGATCTCTCTCCATCTCTCCCTCTGTGCCATTCTGCTTTTCAGATAAATAAGTAAATAAATAATTTTTAAAGATGCTCAAAATTACAATGTGATGATGGTTACATAACCCTGTGAACTTTCTAAAAAAATTGTACATTTAATTGGGTGAATTGAATGGAATGCAAATTATATTTCAATAAATATATTTAAAAACAATACAGATTAATTATAGATTGAAAAACTTTTCTTTTCTTAATTTATTTCATTTTACTTGGCAGGCAGGCAGAGAGAAATTCCCAGTCCTAGTTTACTCTCCAAATGCCTGTAAGAGCCAGGGCTGGGCCAGGCTAATACCAGGAGCCTTGAAGTCCATCCAAGTCTCCCATGTGGGTGGCAGGGACCATCCCTGCTGCCTCCCAGTCTGCGTTAGCAGAAAGCTGGAGTGAGGAACTGGAGCCGGGCACTGGAGAGAAGCACTCAGATAGTACGTAGGCATCTTAACTCCTAAGCAAAACACACATCCCAGAGTAAAGCTCTGGGGCCAGCGCTGTGGCCCCGTAGGTTAAGCTGCTGTCTGCAGCACCAGCATCCCATATGGATGCCAGTTCATATCCCAGCTGCTCCACTTCCAATCCAGCTCCCCGTCAATGGCCTGAGAAAGCAGCAGAAGATGGTCCAAGTATTAGGCCCCTGCGACCCATGGGGGAGACCCAGATGAAGCTCCTGGTTCCTGGCTTCAGCTCAGCCCAGTGGGCCATTGCGGCCAACTGGGGAGTGAACCAGCAGATGGAAGAACTCTGTGTCTCTTCCTGTCTCTAACTCTTTTTAAAAAAATTCTTTTTTTTTTTTTTTAAGAGTAAAGCTCTTTGATTCAAGGTGTTACATAAACAAAGGAACAAGATGACGATGGTTCAAGAAAAACAACAGTAACACAAAACCCATCATTTGATTTGCAACCAAAGTAGGTTTGATTGTGATACCATCACACTAAACCACAGCTGAATTCTATTTCTCTAAAACTTTCCAAACCACCTTCCTGGGTCTTTTATAAAGTCCTTTTCAATTCTAGCAAACAAAGTGTTTTCAAGACTCTCTGCACCGTTGAGAGGAATATAAGTGGGCACAAACTACCAATATTTGAAATGCACATGACCTCCATGTCACAAGGATTTATCCCGCAGCCACAACACCCACAGAGGCCAAGGCCGCTCTTTGCAGGGTGGTCATGGCAACAGTGGATTGGAAACAACCTAAATGCCATCAACAGACGTCTGGATCAACAGCTGAGCTCCATGCATAGATCCAGGGAGTGCCACAGCCCTCTGAAAGAACACGGCCGTCCACAAGCACTAGCACGAAACACCCCGAGACTCAGCTTCAAAGGAAGGGGTCTTTCAGGAAAGGGTGGAGAAAAACACACTCATTGTCTCCCAGTCTTTTTTTTTTTTTTTTTTTTTTTTGACAGGCAGAGTGGACAGTGAGAGAGAGAGACAGAGAGAGAAAGGTCTTCCTTTGCCGTTGGTTCACCCTCCAATGGCCGCCGCTGCAGCCGGCGCACCGTGCTGATCCTGGCAGGAGCCAGGAGCCAGGTGCTTTTCCTGGTCTCCCATGGGGTGCAGGGCCCAAGCACCTGGGCCATCCTCCACTGCACTCCCTGGCCATAGCAGAGAGCTGGCCTGGAAGAGGGGCAACCGGGACAGAATCCGGCGCCCCAACCGGGACTAGAACCCGGTGTGCCGGCGCCGCAAGGTGGAGGATTAGCCTATTGAGCCATAGCGCCGGCTTTCCCAGTCTTAAAATACTACAAACATGAGATACCATGACTGATACAGCCATGCTGGGACTTGCCAGAACTATTGCTAAGAGAACACAACAGCTGACTCTGAGTAGCAGGGCTGGGGCTGGGGCTGGGGCTGGGCTCAGGGGAGACTTCTTACTCTTTATCCCTCAGCCTCACCAGCAGTTTTTACCATAAGCCTGCCTTTCTTAGAGGAGAAATGAAACTCCACACAAGTGTAATGGCCCCTGGAGAACCGCCATGGCCCCATGGGAATAGCTATGGTTTGAACGTGTGTTCCCAAAAAAGTGGGGAACTTCATCTCTAAATTGGTAACTGAGGGGATTTGGACATGGGGCCCTTGGGAGGTGATTAGGATGAGAAGAGGTCGTGAGGGTGGGGCCCCGAATGGCACTAATGGTTTTGGAAGAGGTAGGAGAGACCCGAGCTGCCAGGCGTGCTCTGTGGCACCACGGGAGGTCCTTAGCCATACCAGGATGCAGCAAGAAGGTGCCTGAGGACCAAACGCTGAGCAGGTGCCCGCACCACACTCCTGGGCTTCACTCCCATCACTCAGCAACAGAAACCAGACTACGGGAAGAACGCACCCTCTGGAGTGGAAGACTCCTTTCTGCGGCTGGACGGCGGGGCCAGCAGGCTCATGGCACTGGGCTGGTGCTCGGGCGACCGCACGATGGCGGACATGGCGATCTGCTGCCTCGCGGTGGCCGGTGTGGACGGGTGCGGGTGTTCTGCGGCTTTCCGGTGGGCAGCTGCAGAAAGACCGGTACAGCGTCTTGTGGTCAGCTGGTCACCAAGCGGACACACCCCAGGTTGTCCTTCAAGGATGCAAGACCCAAAGTGTACGCATGGTGCCCATTCAGCAACGCCAAGGATGGGGCTGGACATCTGCCAGACGTGGAACGCCTGGACTGGAAGCGGACGGGCCAAACACAAAGACACGGAACTGGTCCTGGCCAACCTCGTGGAGTCGTCCTCTGCCTGTCCCACAGCCCGGAGCGCGTGCAAGAGGGAGCCCTACCTTCCTCCCGGGCAGAGCGCAGCTCGATGCGGGTCTTCTGCAGGGCTTCCTCCAGCTCGGCACAGCGAGCTTTCTCCTTCTCCAGGGCCAGCTTCAGCTCATTGTACTGCAGAGGAACCTGTGTGGGCAAAGCAGGGTCCTCTTTCCGTCGACTAAATAAACCCTAGCAATGGAAACAGAGATAGCTCCTGACTGCTGGAAGCTGGCACTGGGGTAGCTACAGGACATCTGACTCGGGAGAGGCGAAGCACGGAGGCCAGGAGCATACTCACTGTAAGTGCATTTAGCAAAAATGGCAAGTGAGGGGGGAGGGGGTGGGCTGAGCCACAGCCCGCTCCGGCCGGCTGGGGGAAAAAAGAACAAAACAGGGGCGCAGAAGTGTTCACCGAGCGGGTTAAAGACGCTTGCACTGCCACCACCTCTTCCTTTGGCATCCCCAGGACGGGAGGGCATTTCTGAGTCTGTACCCCTCAAAAAATGGAACCGGGAGAGGATGGAGGATGCAGCGCCGGGTCAGAGGTCACTCTTGCCTTTGAATTTGTCTCACGATGCTTATGACAAGACACAGATGGGAGTGCTTTTCCAAAAGGAAGAAAAAAAAAAAAACGCTAAAAATGACGTCAAAACAAGAGGCGTCTTTAAAAAAAATGCAAACGGAAACATTTACTGCACATGGAAAGGGAAAAAAAAAAATCCAGGAATAATGCAAATGAAAGAAAAAATTAACTGAAAGAAAAAAATATATGGAAACACCCTAACTACATCAAGTGACATAACCAGGGAACAGTCGCTGCTAAAATAAAAAAGATTAAACATCGTAAGAATTACAAACACACACAGTCACACAGGTGCACGAAAATCCGCCCCTGCAGCCTCCGCAGGCCACCCTCACCCCTGCAGCACGGACGGCACCAGGAGCCGGGACACCCACCAGGTCTCCCACGCCTGTCTCGGGAGCCCCGCTCTGCAAGTCCTTGCCTGAGAAGCTTCTGCCACTACGGGGTTCTAAAGCCTTGGGAAGGAGACCACAAGCTCCTCAGAGACCTTAGAGGAACTGAGACCCAGGACAAAGGCTGCAACGAGAAATCACGGGAATCGGCAGGAATCACTGGGAAATCGGGCCTGTGACAAGCAACCCTGCTGCGGGCACCCACCTACAGCCCTGTCCACGGTTGTTGATTTGTTTCTTGTGATAGCAAAGGGACGGTGCAGCAGTGGGGGAGTGTCCAGCCATCGAGCCAGGACGCTTTATAAGGCAGGTCAACTCCCTGGATTCCAGTCCAGCAATGGACTGGGCCAGGTCATTTCCAAGGACTTTCTGGACTCAGGTCTCCTGTGGAGTCCCTGACATACGACCCTAGAGCCCCTCTGCGCCCCTGTGCCTGCAGCCTTCTCAGCCCTCTAGACTCACACGCGTAAGCTGCCCCTGCTCTCTGGAGTCCCTGCTCGTGACCTGCGGATCCCACTATAGTCCAGGACACACGACCCAGCGTACTGCCCACAGCTACGAGGGGCACACTCCCTGAACAGAGAAAGGTACCACAATCTTAATGGCCACGAATGGCAAGTCATTCGTTGGATTGGATCAATGATACCCCTGATAAGGGCTACTCCGATTCTCTCAAAAACTATGTATTTTTTTTTACCCAAAAACAAAACAGGAAAATGAACATTATTTCCTGCCACGTGCCTGTGATCACACACTGTGGCGATGCCCACGGAATCGGGAATGATGGAGCAAAACTGTCCACTCCCACTGTGACCCACCTTTTTCTTTTTAGCGGGTTGGTCCATTTTGGCTTGCAGAAAATCAATGAGTTTGGTTTGTTGAGAAATCGTGCCTTCCATTTTCACCTTTTCGTGAGAATACAGAACCTAAAATGGAAACAGAAAGAGAAAAGCACCTTAGAGCCAGGCAGGAGGACACGGCTACAGGCAGGACCATCTGAGAACAGACCGCACAGGTGTCGGGATCCCAGCACGTGAGCGTGCGACACAGACAGCATGGTGCCGGTGGGCACGTTCTTGTTCATTTAGTCCCGATTTTATTGCAAAGGAAAAAAAAAAAAGATGGGGTTAATAAATGGAATAAACGGAACAGACGAGAAAGTAAAAATAGTAAAAGGCTGATGTTACATTCCAGGTGGTGGTCACCAGGGACACTTTCCGGCTTCCTTGGACGTTTGAAAATTTCCCTAAAGAACCCTTGGGGGAAGCAGACACCGCATACCACAAAGACGCCGGCCGTTTCAGTGGAGGCCCCCCGCCGTGGCGCCTAGGCACCCCACCTCCCAGCAGGCCCCGCAGGTGCGCACCTGGATGTTCTCCAGCTGATACTCCAGGTCACTCCTTTCTGTCTTCAGCAAATCAGCCCGGTCCAGGGCTTCCTGCAGCCCCTGAGTCAGACGGAAGATGTGGTTCTTCTGCAGGTCCATCTGCTGCTGTAACTTGGCTTGCTGGTGGGAGAAGGGGAGGGGGGGGCAGAGACTCAGCCCCTCACAGCACATAACTCGGCCCCTACTGCTCCTCCTCCCGAACTAACTTCAGGCACGGCACCCAAAGCTCAGCTTCTGAAACCATCTCACGGCAGAGTCAGAAATTGCTGTCTATGTCAAAATGATGTGGGCGTGGCTGGGAAGGAGCGGCACAAGCCCCAGGGTCCCGGGGTGACAGGCACCAGGCCGCAGTCGGAGCGACAGCTGAGGCTACTTTGGAACGGAAAGGCTTGGGCCACCTGAGAGCACCTCACAGGCAGTGAGACTCGGTGCTGTGGCAGCTGAATCCGCTCTGGCTTTAAGCGGAGGGTCCCGAGTGTCGTCAGCGGTCAGCCGCTCCTGCAGGCAGGGCGAGGGACACAGGAGCCCAATCCCCCACACCGAGTGAGCCTCAATCAAGGAGACAGATCCACGGGATGCCGAGAAAGGCAGAGGAGCCGAGACACAGCACCGGTGTCGGTAAAACCCACAGGGGCAAAAAAGCCCATTTAGTACATTGGAAATGGTTTTGTGCTACGATTTGCTCTCTGATTTTCACATTGAAGCCAACCCAGCGTCAGCACAGGTGATAAAGACCCTGGCTTGATGGCTCTTTCCTAAACTCTTCTGTTTCTATAAAGCAAGGGAGAGCAGCCATGCTGACCAGCTGCTGCTGGTCTCATCCAGCCCCAAGCTGTGTTCTAAACACTCTTGCTGCGGCCCAGATCCCATCTGCACACTCGGCACAGGGAGCTACAGGAGAGCAACAGCCATCACCACAGGCGTTTTCAAACAGTCACTGGCAGGAGCCAAAGCCTTTCACCCGGGCACGCCAAAGGCCGCTGACAACCTCAGAACTTGCTGGCCCTGCTCACCTCACACCCCTTCTCTCCACCTGTGTCTTTTCCTTCCCTTTCTGTTCATCACTGGCCCTATCTCTTGGGAGGGAGCCGATTTCTGGAGGCACCACACACTAGCAGAAGAGAACCTGGACCTAGAATCTCACAGGCCCCTCTGAGTGTGGGCCTGAACAGCTCAGTGGTGTGACTGCAGGTGACTGTACTGTCCCCTGGAGCCCTGTATCTTCACCTCAGAGTGGGTGCAACGCCTGCCCCACTGGCAACACACTGAGCACAAGGCCTGGCATACAGCAGGTGCTTAATGAATGCTGGTCCTCTCTATCTCCTTTGTCCTCCTTTCTTCCCTCCATCCAGGGCTGTGCTTTCCCTCACTTTCCCACCTACCTTTTCCCTATCGCCCTACCATAAAGCAAGAGAGAACCAATACTAACTAGAGATCACTTGGCTTGGACACATAACCAGGAGTCTCCCAATTGCACTGTAGAATCCCCTAAAATACAGGTAAAAAAGGAAGAAAACAGCCAGGACACCCTCCTAAGGGGAGCTATGGGGCCCCGCCTCACAGGTGATTTCTTCCACAAATTACCCTGTTTAGCTTCTTTCTACTATTTTAGGACATTAGCTCCCAGGCAGGAGGCAGAGAAACAGCTGCCGGGGACAAGAATCCGCTTCGTGACAGCCAGGTCCAAAATGTTTTTCTGGAATAAACATCTCAACTATCCATTATCTTTCCAAGAAACAGGCTGGTTACCTACTAGTGACAAACACTCATGCACACTGAAGTGTTCTTCAGAACCATTAAGCTGCTTCCCAGAGAGAGAGGGGAGTGGGTCGGCATGAAAGCAGGGCCTGAGCAGGGCGCTGAGACCTGTCCGACACTTTTACAGGGTGACAGGAAACCACAGGATGAGAGAAGGAACTGGGTGACAGAGCTAGAGCAGGAAATGACCCCGCTGGGCAAGAAGGGTGACCAAAACCACCAAGAAAAGTTCAGCAGGGTGTAGTGTTTCTAACAGACAGAGCATACAGTTGTCTAGGAAGGAAAACAGCTCATGGAAGGGCGGCTGATGCTCTCGCTGGTCAATGGGTGCCAATCACGGAGGAGACCCCACCCCAAGCCCCACCCCGCAGAGCCCCAGGAACAAGCAGAGGTTTACAGAACCCAGGATGGACGTGGCAATAGCCCACTGCATCCAGTGCCATTCGGCCCACAGGGGTCTCTAGAAACTCCCTTTTGGAAAGATACATCTACCAGAAAAGAACATCCAAAGCTTGGAGGGATTTGAAATGTTTCAGTTAGAAAACAGAAGGCAACTTGGAGGGGGAGAGCTAGCTGGATCTCAGCAACTGTCACAGAGGATAAAAGCAGCTCTCTTGTGGGCTCATCGCAAGCCCATTTTACATGAGTTAATTCATGTAAAATACTCAGGAAGGCACCTGGCACATAGTAAGTGCTAATTAAATACTAGTTATTTGGATTACTAATCAAGTAATTTGACTACTGATCAACAGCCATCTCTGATTTGGGTTGGAAATATCAGACTACTCTCTAATCTCATGTTTCAGTGTCTTAGAATCAGTGGGTAGAAGTTTTAAGTTTTAGATTGAAATAAGAAAGGATTTTCTAAGAATTAGAGCTGCTGACAAATGAACGGGGGGACCAGCACATCTGGTGCAGCAGATTCAGCCACCACCTGCAAAGCCAGTGCAAGTCCCAGCTGCTTCATTTCTGATCCAGCTCCCTGCTAATGCACTGGGGGAAGCAGTGAAGCTGGCCCTAGTGCTCGGGCTCCTGCACCCATATGCAAGACCTAGATGGGTTTCCTGGCTTCTGGCTTTGGCCTGGCCCAATCCCAGCCATTGCAGCCATCTGGGGAGTGAACCAGCGGGTGGGAGATCTCGCTGTATCTATCTGTCTTTTTGTAACTCTGCCTTTCAAAGAAATACATACATCTTTTTAAAACGAACAGGCTGAAGTATCCAAAGTCAGTGTATCTAGGCCACTGTTTGAGAGGGGAAGGGATTCTCTGCCTCGGACAGGATGACTTTGGCCAGGATCAACAAAGCAACTTCCTCCCCTGGTGCTACATCCAATGGACCGACACTGGCTGCCAAGAACCGTGTCGGGAAAGCTTCTGAGGCCACCGTGGGCCACCAAGGAACATGTAAGAGGAAGGTCCGGATCCTTTATCTGCAGGGATAAAGGGACCAGTGCTGGGGATTTGGATTAGAGGAGCGAAAACCCCTCCACTTCTGAGACTCTGACTCTGCCCAACCCAAACATCTCCACACCTGTGATGAGGACACTTGGGTGAGACCTTGGGCCCACGCTCGTCCAGCACAGCCCACAGCCAAGGATCCCAGCTGCAATTTGGGACAATAAACATCAATCTTTATTTCCCAGAGGTTTCAGCTGTCTGTGACAACTGCTTCAAGCACAGTGTCGGCCAGATGTCTGCTTAGAAATCTATCTGTGGGGTACAAACTGGGAAACTGGAAATGTTCTCATGGCGCTCAGAAGCGAGAACGAGGGAGCGAGGCAGGCTTGCAGCCTATTCCCAGCGCTGCCACTGACTCACCAGTAACCTTGCACCACAGCACTGGGCTGTCAGGGCCAATCTGCCCTCTTCAGGAGGAAGACAGCACAGGCATTACTTAGGTGCCTGCTGGAGGCAGAAAGAGCAGAACAGGGGACACTGCCTATTCATCCCAGACAAGAGGCCACAATTCTCTATTTGACCTCCAGGTAAATGTAAAATTTCCATTACAGGTTCAACATCTCTAAGACAAAAAAAAAAAAAAAAAACCTGAAATCTAAAACATAAAATTTGGTTTTTTTTTTTTTTTTTTATAAATTGAACCCACAGAATGAATGGATTTGTTTTTCTTTGAAAAGCAAGAGAGACAGAGAGGAGAGCTCTCATCCACAGGTTCACTCCCCAAATGCCCATAAAGGCCAGGGTTGAAGCTTGGAGTCAGGAACTCCATCCAGGCCTCCCACTTGGGTGCCAAGAACCCAGTTAACTTGAGCCACACCAGTGCCTCCCAGGGTCTACATTAGCAGAAAACTAGAAACAGGAGCTGGAACTAGGAATCAAACCCAGGTACTCCCAAGTGGGATGTGGGTATCTTAACTAGTGACTTAAGCCTTGGACTAAATGCCCAACCCAAATCCAAAGCTCACTGAGTGCCGACATAATGCCACAAATGGAAAACCCCACAAGTGACTTCATAGGGGTCACAGTCAAAATGCAGGCGCACTAAAAGCGCTGGACAACGTTACCTTCAGGCAACTGTACAAGGTATATAAGAAAAATAAACGAATTTCAGTTTTAGGTTTAGGCTCCATCCTTAGGATATCTCACTACACGTATGCAAGTATTCAAAAATTTGAAATCTGAAACACTTCTGGTCCCAAGCATTCTGCACAAGGGATACTCAACCTATGTAATGTTCTTCAGACCATCTGATGAACTTCATGTCTATACATGTTGACATTGCATTACTAATTTTATTTTTTTTAATTTATGGTGGCAAAATACACATAACAAAATTTATCACTAATGTAAGTCCTTCTATGGCTGAAGGACATTCGTGTCATCATGCAGCAATCACTACCATCCATTTCCAGAACTCTCCCAAACTCCCACCTATATTTTTCAAAGTATCATTCTATAACATATTCAATACCCGCCTGCCAAATTTCACTACACTTTTCCAACTTAATAGCATAGCAAAATTATTTCTATCAGTAAATCACCTCAGAAGCTAAGGGGATCACAAAAAAAAATTATGCACAAGAGGGTTCTGGTTAACTGAACTCTCTGGAGCTCAACTTTTCATTAGGTATCTGTATGGAGTACATTTGTCCTCGTAGGTCAATTCTAACGAACAAAGTAGAATCATTAGGGAGTCAATATGTAAGACGTTCGGTGAGAGTGGGCAATAGTCATCCATTTTAGTAGCAATTTTCAGAGCTCTATGAAAAGGTACAGGAAATGAAATAATGGATGGGCTTAGGAGATCAATTTGAGCTTGTCATCTTCTGTCTCAAAAGCAGGGCACAATTTTTTGTAATTGAATTAAATGAATGTTCAAAAGTATTCATGAAATTTGGTGCTCGGCATAACCTGATCCGATCCCTACCCTGTGAAGGAAGCTAATATTCATGGGTGTCCTGTCAGCATGAAACTTAATACTTTGCATATTAATTCTAAAGAAGAGTTTAAACTTGATATTCATTCACCTGTGCATTTCATAAACCTCTATTTGGCACAAACTCACTATGAGCTTGACAATCTATCATGCACCATGGACCCTCTGATCCTCACGACACGTTCTCTGAATATTTAAATACTGCAAAGTATTATGTAACCGCCTGACTCTTGCTTGAAAATTCCAATTTCAAGATATGAAACGTCTAAGTTGGCTCTGACCACCGGAACACTCTGAGTTCTTCCATTCAGAATCCCCCGGCTCTGTTTTCCCAGGTGTTTGTACTCACCTCTTCCAGGAGTCTCTGTTTGAGCTCGCGTTCAGTCTCCAGTTTCTGTTGTAAGCTCCGAGCATTCATTTCAAGCATGGCATGCTTTTTCTCCAGGTCATTGAGCTGGACATTGGGAAAAATGGACCATGATGCCACAGTTAAGAATGTTAGAGGCTAATGGCTTTCACAAACCTTCACAAACCTTCACAGATAAAGAACAATCAGCTTCGAAAGGTCAGAATGACAATGTTGTTACTGAGTTCAGGCCACAGGTAGGTTTTCCAAGGGGTGTTAGTTATGTGAGGATAAGACTCTTTCTAAGGGACAGCTCTCATATATTGCTGTGAGAAGTTCTAAGGGCGTGGCTGCTCAAGAATTTATCTGACATGCTTTGGCTGCATTTAATTAAATGATTATACACTGACTACTTACTACTTGCATAGCAATGTAGCTCTGGGCATAAAAGCATGGCTAAGCTCTCTCAAGGATCTTAAGTCAGAAAGGCAGAAGGTGTTACAAATAACGACTGCTTTGTCAGTTGATAAGTTGCATACAAAAAGGTATGGAAAAGATAAAGTTATCCCAATTGGGAGATCAAGAAACAATGGTCTTGGCCAGGTGCCGCGGCTCAATAGGCTAATCCTCCGCCTGCGGCGCCAGCACCCCGGGTTCTAGTCCCGGTTGGGGCGCTGGATTGTGTCCCGGTTGCTCCTCTTCCAGTCCAGCTCTCTGCTGTGGCCCGGGAGGGCAGTGGAGGATGGCCCAGGTCCTTGGGCCCTGCATCCCATGGGAGACCAGGAGGAGGCACCTGGCTCCTGGCTTCGGATCGGCGCAGCACGCCAGCCATAGTGGCCACTTGGGGGTTAACCAACGGAAAAAGGAAGACCTTTCTCTCTCTCTCTCTCTCTCTCTCTGTCTAACTCTGCCTGTCAAAATAAAAGAAAGAAAGAAATAATGGTCTTGGAATATTTGGAGTTTAAAGGATGCATAAGACTTGGCTACTGGATATTTTAAGGAGAGCCAACTAGGAAAAAGTATCCAGTTAAACATAAAAGGGTTCACTGAACTCTAAATAATAAATTACTTTTTTCACACTTAAAAAAGAAACGGTAAGCCAGCATCAGGGAACCAAGGAGTGTCCCAGAGTAGCAAGCACTAGTCTTGAATTCAATTCTGCTTTTGTGAATTTCTGGTAAGAAAACAATCATAATATTTTCAGACACACACACACACACAAAAAAAACCTACAAAACACGAACAAGATTGTAATACACATAATGAGATTATGGTACACAAAACACGAACAAGATTTACGTTATTCACAGTGTAACTTAGGAGGCAAAAAACTGGAAGAAGCCCAACTTTCCAGCACAAGTAGGATGATTAAATTAGGCACCTCCATCGAATTGATTTTTTTTTAGAGCTACGTGTTCAAAAATATTCAATAACCCAAAAAAAGCCTGTTATGATGTTAAAATAAAAGATGTAAAGCTATATGTATAGTAAAAACCTGTACTTACACAAATGGTCCAGTAATGTGAATATGTGTGTATATGCGCATATGTATAAATAGCAAAAAGAAACTGCAAATAAATTCACCGCTAATACAGCAGGGTAAGGGGTTACCATGCATTTTTTCCTTTTCCATGGTTTCTATATTTACCTTAATGACCTCAAACACTTATTTTTAGAACAATGAAACTACAAACTTTAGATTTTATGTGTGTATGTGGAAAGTGTGAGCCCTGCGCATATAAAGCTTCTGATCTCTACTTTTGTCATCTGTAACACTGAAGCACCTCGTCTGCATCTTTTTTAAGGCCATTAAAGAATCCAATGCATGTATATTGTGAATGTAACATGTGAAGGCGCATGGACAGAACACACACATTTCCAATGTGAAATACACAGGACGTGCATGCGTCACGAGCCCACGCTCAGAGACACTGGCCAGCTGTGGCTGCAGGAATGGAATGAGTGTTAGTCACTGCCACAGTGCACCTCCCCAAGTATGCCCAGCATTAAATCCATAAAGCCTGCTAGAAACAAGATGCCAGACGATGGAACAGAAATTCAGGACTTGGGACCCAGCCAGGGAGATGTTAAGAGGTCACTGAGCAACCACGATCACCCAGCACCCATCACCACTCACACCATCACCAACCAAGGATGTCCCCCAGGAGGGTATGACCAGGTGACACTTCCAGGTTGAACGGATGTATGCTTAGGTAATACGCTTACCGGGGATTGAATTTTGATGTGTGTCAAGCATGTCTTTAAAAGATGGAAACAGAAAATGCTTTTCTACAAGGCAGAGGGCCAAGTGCTGACCTTGTCGGAGAGGCTCTCGGCTTTCAGCTTCTGTTCCTTGAGAGCCTGCTGCAGAGCGAGGATCTCGGCCTTGTGCTCCTTCACCGCCAGCTCCACCACCTGGCGAGACTCGGTGATCCGCTGGTCGGCCCTCGCCCTGCCACAGAAACACAGGCCCACCTTTAGGGTTCCCGCTGCCAGCGATCTGCAGAGTGGGGGCCCCTATCTAATCCTGACAAGCAACTCAACAGGCTGAGAGTTGGACAGACGCCCAACCCTGCCTCCGACTTCCAAATTATATCTTCCTTTCCAACCGCTTACCCAGCAAAGATGTGACCCACTTTAGGCCTTGGGTAAAAATGCCCTTAAAAGGTAAGGCTCCTGTGAGTACTCACTTGGAAAGCTGAAAGGGAAAAGACAGCTCCAAATGCAACTGGGCTGAACACGCTGTGTCAAGACTGGCACACCCTCCGTGGGCCTGGAGATGGGGTGAGCCCCCACGGAAGAACCACAGGAGCAGGGACCACGGCAGACCCACTGGAGCAAGCTTTTCCTCCCTTTAAATATATGCAAGAGGCTAAGTGTTTCAGGTGCCCATCAAGTAACTGAACCGTGATCTGAGGAATGCATCCAAACACCGAAGCACAGAAACACAAGAAGCCGGACGGGACAAGGCCGTCCTTTCCCCGACGTGGGCGAGCCATTCTCCTACCCCACACTCAGGCTCACCCCAACGTGGTGGAGCCATTCTCCTACCCCACACTCGGGCTCATCCCCGACGTGGGCAAGCCATTCTCCTACCCCACACTCGGGCTCACCCCCAACATGGGCGAGCCAATCTCCTACCCCACACTCGGGCTCATTCCCAATGTGGGCGAGCCATTCTCCTACCCCACACTCGGGCTCATCCCTGACGTGGGCGAGCCAATCTCCTACCCCACACTCAGGCTCACCCCAGATGTGGGCAAGCCATTCTCCTACCCCACACTCAGGGTCACCCCAGATGTGGGCGAGCCATTCTCCTACCCCACACTCAGGCTCACCCCAGATGTGGGCGAGCCATTCTCCTACCCCACACTCGGGCTCACCCCAGATGTGGGCGAGCCATTCTCCTACCCCACACTCGGGCTCACCTCCGACGTGGACTAGCCATTCTCCTTCCCCACACTCAGGCTCACCTCCGACGTGGACTAGCCATTCTCCTACCCCACACTCGGGCTCATGCAATCTCCCCGTGGCTAGGTCCCTCCTCCCCTCTGGTACAAACTCCTGAGCCTCCCAGCAGAAACTCCTAATGTCCTCCACAAAACCATTCCCAGTGTCTCTTCTGCCTGCCCTGTACCTGAAGGGTGAATGTATTCCTCTCCTAGCACCCCTCCCTCTCCGTCTTAAGACATAAATATCAGGGTGCAGTCTGTCTTCTCCACTAGACTCCCATCCTCGTGAATATATTACAGAATACCAAAAGAGAAAAAAATGAGGAAAAGCCAAACTCACTTGCAGTTGACCTGAAAGCAAATGAATGCAGCCTTCTTAAGCACAGACCATAATTCCATCTTCCCTGTGTGCTTGTGTATTTCATTATTATTTTAATCATCGTCATACTATTTGACAGGCAAACAGAGTTCTCTTGTCTGCACATTCACTTCCCAGTGCCCACAATAGCCAGAAGTGGGCCAGGCCAGAGCCAGGAACCAAGAACTCAACTTGGGTCTCCCACATGCAAAACGATCTCTGAAGGACTCGAGCAACAGCCGGACTTGAAGGTGGCAAGGAAGGGACCCTACGGAGAGCAGCCAGATCTCACAGTGAGGAATGGGGGGAGCCCAGGGGTTTACAGGGAAGCAGGAACAGGGCCTTCAAACAGCAGCCCCTCACAACAGCACACACACTGAGTGCGCGACTGTGCAAAGTGCATTTTCATCTTGTGCCTTCATCTCTTCCAGCTCACCTGGGCGTAGCCTGAGGTTGCTCACCCAGCACATCTGGCTAAATGTGGCAGAGAGCAAACAAAGTGACAGCTACGCCCAGGTGTAGTTTACAGTGCTCAAGGAGACCAGAAAATCCTCCGAGGGACAGTGACACTGACCCGGGTACAGAGGCTGGACATGAGTCAGCCAGGCCGACATGAAGCCTCCGGGCTGATGCTGGCCCGTAGCCCCCGTGCAAATGGAGAAAGGGCCCCATCCTCAGGACCGTTTCTTTCCTCCACCTGTAAACTGTCCTAACTCCCAGTTCTGTTAGAACGAGACACTTTCCTGTCCTGAGCTGTAAAACCGCCTTCAATGCGAATGGCATCCTCGGGCTATGCAGGGCACACCCTGAGCCTCGGCAGATCTGAGATCCGGCGCGGACGTCTGCTGTGCTAGGGCAGTGGGAAAGCAGGGGGAAGAAACTGCCTGAACTCATCACCACTTCTCACCACAACAGCGAAAAACAAAGAGCAAACCTCTGAACTTTTCTGGTAACGCAGTGGTTCCCCGCTGGGGACAATTATGCCCCCGGCCAGGGGACACTGGGAGCGTCTGGAGATGTTTTTGGTTGTCACAACTTCGAACAATGGCTGCTGCTGGCCGTGTGCAGGTAGGGAGCAGGGCTGATGCTCAGTCCCCTACAACGCATAGCACAGACCCCACCACAAAGAATTATCCAGCCCGAGTATAGAGGGAAGATGGGCACAAGACCTGGCCAATGCTAAAGCAGCGATGGTCTAGCATGGCCGCCATAGGAAACCTCATGAAAGTGGCTCTGCACAGAAAGCCCTGAGCTGTCTGTCCTAACTCCTGGCCCTTCCACCCAGGACAGCAGCCACTGCCTTGGAATCAACTGCCACGTCCACAACCAGGATGACCAGTCCAGCGTGGTTTGCTCAGGAGTCTCCCAGTTTGGGCACTGAAAGTCTTGTGCCCCAGGCAAGCTGGGACAGCTGGTCCCCCTGTGCACTGCTCGCCTGCCGCAGGCGCCGGTCACGGCTGTCTACAGACAGGGAATCCCACCTGCTCTGCTTCTCAGTGTCCAGCATGCGCTGCAGCTCTCGAACTCGACACTCGAACTGGGACTTCTCGTCGCCGAGGACGCTCCTCCAGGCCTCCCACTGCCGCTCCTTCTCCAGCAGCTCGTCGTTCAGGGCCTCCAGATCCATGACCTGTTCTTCCAGCATCGTGCAGGTCGTCTTCAGCGCCTCCATCGTCTGCAAATCAGTACCACTGAGTTGCGCCTTGACGCAAACGAGGAGCTCATCGGCTCAGTTTCAGAAAATCACGGGTTTCTAACTACAGCCTGCGATACGGTTTCTCGCCGGTGAGGAATGCATCGAGAGCCACTGCTGCGGGCATCTTGAGAGGCAGAACCCAAAGCAAGGCCTGGGGAAGTGACCGCACTTAAAAATCAAATGCTCTGGCCGGCGCCGCAGCTCAATAGGCTAATCCTCCACCTTGCGGCGCCGGCACACTGGGTTCTAGTCCCGGTCGGAGCACCGGATTCTGTCCCGGTTGCCCCTCTTCCAGGCCAGCTCTCTGCTGTGGCCAGGGAGTGCAGTGGAGGATGGCCCAAGTGCTTGGGTCCTGCACCCCATGGGAGACCAGGAGAAGCACCTGGCTCCTGCCATCGGATCAGCGCGGTGCGCTGGCTGTAGCGCACCAGCCGTGGCGGCCATTGGAGGGTGAACCAAGGGCAAAGGAAGACCCTTTCTCTCTGTCTCTCTCTCTCTCACTGTCCACTCTGTCAAAAAAAAAAAAAAAAAAATCAAATGCTCACACCAGCCTTCCAAAGCATTAGATTTTAAGTTTGTTTAAATCAGAATTAAGAACAACTCTATACTTTGAAGAGCCCCAAAGCCTTGGAAACAAGACACGACTGTGCAAAGAGCCCCTCTGCTGAGCGGGCCTTGGTCTTGCAGCCCTTGGGAGAACGCAGCAGGCACTCCTCCCAGAACTGGGTGAAGTGCTCCGAGGCCTCCCCGCCCCGCCCACCCTCCTTACTTGCTTCTGGCTGGTGAGCTGCATCTCCCTCTCTGTGATCTCGCGGCGCAGATGGTCCACCTCACTCCGCAGCTGGACAATCTCGTCGTTGGCACCGGAAGCCTCATCGAGTTGTTTGGACAAGTAGAAGTTCTGGTTGTTGAGTTCGGCGTTGTCCTCAGTCAGCTGGTTCAGCTGCTCCTCCAGGTCTGTGATGACCTGAAACAGGGGAGGAACCCGGTTACGCCGAAGCAAGTTCACCGTGAGGGAGGAGTTGCTTCTAGAGCTGATCTTTGAGCCCACGTGACGCTGGCGATCAACGCGCAGCTCACCCAACTGGGAGAGCCAACCCACGCTCCCACGCCCACCACTCGGCATGCAGTGGTAGAAAAGGGGAAAGTCGTGGTCCCTCTCTAACTCGGGACACACCTGGAAAACAGGGCAAAGGCAGATCAATCAAAAGTGATGGAGGGGCCACTTCCGGTGAGATCAAGTTGATGGACAACAATCTAAGGTGGGAAGTGCGAATCAAGGAAAGAGGAGAGGTAGCCTGATATAACCAGCTAAGGAAGCTAAAAATGCCTGACGTCACCTCTGGGACGTCATCACTGGAGATGACCAAAGTCTTTGACAGCAAAATAAAGTTCTTATCAAGGAAGGCTGACAGCCAAGGGCACTGCAGTTATTTTAATCACAAACAATAAATTTAATCTCATGCAACAAAAGAGTAAAGGGAAACTCAGAATGACCCTGAAAACACAACCCCGCATTCTGCTTCACTTTAGCGGATTTCACTATACGATTAGCTATCAGAAAATGGGAATCCACGTATATGAAGCGGTGGCTTTAGTGAGCGATTTAATCTGGTTTTGTTAAATTATTCCCCTGCTCAATAGCAGAATGATTTCCATTTCATTGCATTTGGCTTTCTTATTCTCTTGGCTGAGGCTCCGTGTCAGTGCTTGCAGAGAGCTTTCATATATAATACTTTAGAAATTTAAGGGCAATTTTCTAATAATAGTTGGAATGAGGTGCACAGGCAGTAGATTCAATTTTACATAACAGAAAAACGCAAATTAAAAGGAAATGCCTCTTAAACCTATGGTTATTAATTGTTTCCAATTTCAAACCTAGAGCAGACCTACTTTATGAAATTCTACCATTATTTTCACAGTTCCCTATTTTAACCCCCTTTGAATATTAATTACAAAAAAATCCTCCTGGGCATATAATTAAAGAACATCAGTTAAGCACATTTGTTGAATGTGGCTCAGAAAATACATCTTTCCATTTTGTTAAGTGAGCTGATGGTTTTTCAATGTCTTAAGCAGCCTGGGAGTTTGTTTTCTCAACATTAAAAACCGTGTCAATTCCTAATGTATTAGTTATGCTATGGTGTTAGCTACAAGAGGGGGAATACATGCTATTTGAGCAGATGCTTAGCTAAACATTTTATCAGGGAAAAAGGAAGAGGGGCCAGCACTGTGGTGCAGTGGATTAAGCCACTAGCTGCAGCACCGGCAACCCATAAGGCACCAGTTTGAGTCCTGGTTGTTCCGTTTCCAATCCAGATTCCTGCTAATGTGCCTGGGAAAGCAGCAGAGGATGGCCCAAGTGCTTGGGTCCCTACATACTTGGGAGACCCAGATGAAGCTCCTAGCTTCAGCCTGGCCATTGCAGCCATTTGGAGAGTGAACGAGTGGATGGAAGATTTCCCTCTCTGCCTCTCCAACTGTGCCTTTCAAATAAATAAAAATAAATCTTTAAAAACACAGGAAGAGGCCGGCGCCGCGGCTCACTAGGCTAATCCTCCGCCTTGCGGCGCCAGCACACCAGGTTCTAGTCCCGGTCAGGGCGCCGGTTCTGTCCCGGCTGCCCCTCTTCCAGGCCGCGGCGGCCATTGGAGGGTGAACCAATGGCAAAGGAAGACCTTTCCGTCTGTCTCTCTCTCTCACTGTCCACTCTGCCTGTCATTTAAAAAAAAAAAAAAAACACAGGAAGAGAACTATTCATTCATCACTCCTAGCAGACAGCAATGCCCCATTGGGCACCTCTATCATCTGTCTATGACATCATTAAGTCTCCTAAAATCAGAAACAAGGAATAAACAACACCCACTGATTCAACTGCTTTGCTTCCTATACGTAGTAAACCGATTTTATTATGATATACTGTATCCTTTAAAAAAAAAAAACAAATAAAGATTTATTTGAAAGGCAGAGTTGGAGAGAGCAAGAGAGATACATCTTCCATATGCTGGTTCACTCCCCAAATGGTCATAATGGCTGGGGCCGGGCCAGGCTAGGCACCAGGAGCTTCTTCCCAGGGCCCCATGTGGGTGCAGGGGCCCAAGTACTTGGGCCATCTTCCACCACTTTCCCAGATGCATTAATAGGGAGCTGGATTGGAAGCCAGTGTTGTAGGTGTCCACTTAACCCCCTAACGGCACCACACTGACCCCTCACTGCATCCTATATCTATATATGTCTCCATGTAACCACTGTGCTTCCCTCTACCTCTTTCCTGAAGGAAAACAAGAAGACTAAGGCACACTGGCTATCACATGGATTCTGGAACTCCAGTTAAGCCATCTCAAACGTTGCTAGGTAGGTTTTTCCATCTATCACATGGAAGCTCATTTACTAGATGATAGGTAATTTACTATTTTATCTGTTTCCATTTCTTGCATATTATTTGACCTTAATGGATCATGGGAAACATGAGGAATAAAAGTGAATTACATGGCCGGCGCCGCAGCTCACTAGGCTAATCCTCCACCTTGCGGCGCCGGCACACTGGGTTCTAGTCCCGGTCAGGGCGCCGGATTCTGTCCCAGTTGCCCCTCTTCCAGGCCAGCTCTCTGCTGTGGCCAGGGAGTGCAGTGGAGGATGGCCCAAGTGCTTGGGCCCTGCACCCCATGGGAGACCAGGAGAAGCACCTGGCTCCTGCCTTTGGATCAGCGCGGTGCGCCGGCCGCAGCGGCCACTGGAGGGTGAACCAATGGCAAAGGAAGACCTTTCTCTCTGTCTCTCTCTCTCACTGTCCACTCTGCCTGTCATTAAAAAAAAAAAAAAAAAAGTGAATGACAAAGATGCTTCATTTTTAAAGCCTCTTGGGGGAACAAACGGACAACAAGAAACCAATTCACATAAGACTAAATGATTTACTTAACAAAGGTATTTGAGCCTTTGGGTAACCACTCATTTTGTTTCATGAAAAAAAAAATATGCATTTTATTTTGAACCCATTTCTGTCACTTCTTCCATTTCTCCCAAAATTAGATTATGTAATTCTAAAGAGGAAATACTGGGAAAAAGTGAAGGAGGCGTCAAGGTTAATTTTCTCAGGGTGAGTGTTGTGGTGCAGTGGGTTTAGCCACAGCTTGCAATGCCCACACCCCATAACAGAGTTGCAGGGTTCAAGTCCCAGCTCCACTCAGGATTCCAGCTTCGTTCTACTGAACACCTGGGAGGCAGCAGGTGATGGCTCAAGGGCTTGGGCCCCTGTCACCCACACGGGAGACTCAGACTGAGTTCCAGCCTCCTGGATGTGGCCTGACCCAGCCCTAACCGTTGTGGGCATTTGGGGAATGAACCCGAGGGTGCAAGATCTCTCTTTCTCTGCCTCTCTTTCTCTCTGCCTTTCAAGTATTTGGAAATACATAAACATTTTTTGAAGGGTTATTACTCTCACTTCAACTGAGACGGGCCCACTGAAGAGGGAAGGGTCCTTCCGCTTCAGTGTTGTCACCCGGCTCTCAAGGGTTCTCGTGCCTGATTTCTATTTCCAGTCTGTGACTGCTGGTTCTATATTTGGTCATCGTGTCTATTTTTCCCACTTGACAAGAGGAGGACGATGTGTCTGTATGAAGTGTCCAGGCAGGGATTTGAAGCATTTTAACTCATTCAGCTTTGTAATGCATTGTGCGCCACAGCCAGACCGCATTTAGCCTGTGACCCTGCTTGGAGCTCCCGGATGCTGCCCCCTCCCCCACCTACCCACACATCACTGGGTTTGCCAATTATGAAACAGACTTGAGACACAGGCAGTGTAGTAATGGTCTTCCTGGCTTGAAAAGTGTTTACAGTCAAAGGCAATCTCCACAACTGTCCTTCAAGGTAGCTATTATTTTATTCCCATTTTATAGAAGAGAACTGGGGCAACCAGGCGGCCAAGTAACCTGCCCAAGGTTACACCACTAGTAACTAGCAAGGTCAGAACTCACACACAGCTCTGAAGATCAAGAACCTGTGCTCTTCCCCCATGCTGGACTGCCTCTCTCAAACAGAGAGAGATGTGTTTATTCCACTCTTATTGCAGACCCTTGAAACTGGAAATGATGCAGTAGGTCATATTCACCACTCAGGAAGACCCTCCTTGATGTTGAACCAGGTAGTGTGCAGAGAGGATTCTTAGGTCTGTATTGTGGCTGTGGGAATATTTTCTCCTTGTTTCCACAAGTGATCTGTTTATTACCAGACTACATTATGAGGCTGTGAACAGTTCAACTCCAAGGAGGGAGGATGCAAAAATGAACCAACAGAACTTTTGTATCTGCATTTGCACAGATAGATCTTGTGCAGTTCTAACAGAGAATAAGGATATAAAAAATTATCTACTGTCAGTGTCAAAAAAAAAAAAAGATGTTTGTTTGGAACTGCCTGTCGCTTTCAAAGGCTGTCATGCAAACCTCGCCGTCCTGAGAGGCAGAGGTCAGCCTCCTATGTCTACTGGGAGAATGGCAGGGGAAAGTTACTAGGTGGCGGTCCAGTTGGATAATGAGCATCAGGCTAAACACAACCGACTGAAGTCCTATTTTAATGCCTAGATCTTTCCTGAAGGCAGCTATTTGCATATTATTTATTTTTAATCTTATAGCTGACAGATTGATTCATAATTAAAGCTGTGTCATATGTTTGCCCACCAACTCCCCTCTAAAACAGACTTAGGTAGGGCTTTAGGTGCCAGATTGAATCAAATCCTTTTTTTAAAGCTCTTCAAAATAGAGAAATGGTCTGAGCTTGGAAAGCTCACCGTTCATGAGCTTTCTGCTAACTGGGAGCTCCTCTCAGTCGTTAAGAGAGTTCCCACCAGTAATAAAAATGTCGTCTCCTAGCAGACACAACCTTGGACAGCACCAACGGGAAGGGAATGCCCACCTCCCACCTCGCTCTTCCAAGGGGCCTTGAACTTGCCAAAGTGTAACTGAGACCTATTTCTGTGGCCAAATGTTGCTCTGAGGCAGTGGTTTTCAAACTTTTTAAAGTAGCAGAGCTAGTTTTCAATCAAGACTATATTATAAGCCCAATATAATTACAGTAGTAACCAATATTGTTCAGGCCCTGTGCAAGCACTGTGCATGCACCACCTCATTTAATTTTTGCAAGAATCCTAGGAGGCAGGTGTTATTACCAAATTCTATGACTCAGTGTTTCCTAAGTCTTACTGTTTCTGAAATTTGAAGGTATGTTAGGACAAAGAAGCTATCTCTTCCCTCACCCAGCCCCCAAAGAGCAGTCCTTAAATTATGCATCAAACAATCAATGGTGTATTCAAACTGAGGATATACAACGTTATCCCCATATTACAGATGGAGAAATGGAGGCTTAGGAGTATAACATCACATACATTACCAAGAAACCAATTAATAACATGAACTCAGTCTGCCTGACTCACAACCACCTCAGCTGTTCTAGGTCAACTGTGTGTGTGGGGTGGGGGGGTCACTGTCTCAGGCTCCCCCAACTCGAGAAAGCCCTCCTCCCCAGAGTCTTCACCACAGAACACCAGAGGGAAGCAAAGCAAGATTAGAAGTCACTGTTCCAGAAAAAGCAAATTGAGAGAACTTAAAAGTTACATAAGTTAACAAAGAAACCAAATTCGTTCTTTATATTGACGTGTTCCATGAAAACTAAGCTACCAATTTAAAAACTGGGGGACAGGCAGATTCCTGAGGGGCACCAGGAGGAATCTGAGGGTAATGGTCATGTTCCTTGTTCTGACTGTTGTGCTAGTTTAACAGGCACAGACACACAGGAAGCTCACCAGGTCACTGCACGTACACCAACCAATTAAACCGCACATAGCTGTAGAAAAGGCTTTTTTTTTTTTATTTCCTAATGCCAAAAGACTAAAAAAGGGAAAAAAGAGAACTCCAGTTGTATGTGACAGGATTACTGATGTCTGCATTGAAAACATATCCAAGGTTATGTCAGGAAAAACTGGTAATATAAAAACATGACTGTCAGGAAAGGATGCCACTCTGAGCATGTGTGGAATGTAAGCAAAGAGCTCTGTGCAAAACAAGAAAACTAGCACAGGAACAGAACCCCCAGCTCCGGAAGGAAGGGAGGGGAGGGAGGACACCAACTGTCACACTGATCCAGGCGGATCCTAACCCAACCACCACATCAGGAAATCCAGACCAAAAATCTACCTGCAGAGCCCCGCCAGCACAGCTCATGGCCGAGTCCTTGCACTCTCAGGTATACCCACAAACAGAAACAAGCACTTACAGCCCTGCCAAAATCCTTGGTCAAGAGCATTTCCTAACAGTCTTATTCGTCATGGAAACAATCCAAATGTCCATAAACGGGAGAATGAATGAGTAATCTACAGTTGTATGCATACACTGGAAACACTGCACAGTGACAAAAAAGAACAAATTAGTGACAATGCAACAACACACAGGAACCTCACAGACAAGGAAGAAACAAAGACTACGTCCAAAAGATCACATCCCCTATAATCACATTTATAAGAAGTTCAAGGACAGGCAAGACTAACCCGTGGCATCAGAGGGCAGAACAGTGGTTACCCATTGGACAACGGATGCTGATGACAAGGGGATACAGGGAGCCTTCTGGGGGCTGAAAACACTGCATCTTCATCCATGACATGTCTACACAGCTGTCCAAGCCTGTAGATATGCTGTCAGACTTTAAGCTTAGGGTTAGTGCTATGCATCTTACTATATTTATTTCAAACCCACACTAAGGAAAAACCATAGACTCAGCCCTCAGAAAGTTCAAGGAGGGGCTGGCATTGTGGTGTAATGGATTAAGCCTCCATCTGCAGTGCCGGCATCCTATATGGGCACAAGTTCGTAGCCCAACTGCTCCACTTTTGATCCATCTCCCTGCTATTGCACCTGAGAAAGCAGAAGATGGCACAAGGGCTTGGGCCCCTGCACCCATGTAGGAGACCCAGAAGAAGTTCCTGGTTCCTGGCCTCAGCCTGGCCTAGCCCTGCCTGTTGCGCCCATTTGGGGAGTGAACCAGCAGATGGAAGACATCTCTCTCTCTGTCTCTCTCTCTCTCTGCCCTTCAAATAAATAAATCTTAAAAAAAAAAAGTTGATGGCAACTGTATGAAGAAAAAGCTATTCATGGATTTTTAACATTTTTTGCACCATAACCTTGGGATCTTTTAAGTCCATGCTTCCACAAACTTTGTGACAAACTCTTGTACTGTCAGGACTTAGGGTCCCATTTATAGTGACTAAAAAGGAAACAAAGAACTCATCACAAGGAAATAAAGTATGTATGTGGGAGGGGTGCTTCTGAAAATCTACAGATGCAAATAATATTAACAAGGACGGTATCACCAAGGGCTAAGAAAGTAAGAAAGTGATGAGAAAACCAAAGAAAAGAGGTGAAACCATGACTAAGGACACGAAGCCCATCTTCTGAAAAGGGCCTTCTGCAGCCCTTTGTTTTTTATCAAAAAACACCCTGATTCCACACACCCTGTTAGAGCATCTAGAGATCATGCCTATCTGCTAAAAAAAATACACTTCTGCCTAGATCAATTTACTCACCCTGGGCAAGCATTCAGTAAGGTGACATAGTGTTCAGGACACCTACATCCCATCTGAGACTGCCTGGCGTGAAGTCGTGGCTCTGCTTCCAATCTAACTTCCTGCTGATGCACACTCTGAGAGGTATCAGTTAACGAATGGTTCAAACGGCTGGGTCCCTGCCACCCACATGGGAGACGCAGATGGAGTTCCTGGCTCCTGGCTTAAGACTGGCCTACCCCTGGCAATTGCAGGCATTTGGGGAATAAACCACTGGGTAGAAGATCAGTCGATTTGTTTGTCTATCTCATTCTCTCTCTGCCCTTGAAATAAATGAAAATAAATTTTTTAAAATCATCACCCAGAGTCCCAGAATTTGAAGAAGCCAGATTTTGCCTATTTGGAAGTTAACATTCTTAGGTCCTCAGCAGAAGAACTAACTTGACTTTCCTGCCTGCAGGGGCAGCTGGGAGGCCCCACAGACACCACTGCACTGGCAACCAGGTCTGGTACCTGACCCTCCACGTTAGGGAAAGAGGGAGGAGCTGCCATGGGATCTTCTTACAGCTGCTAAAACCTACCAGTGGCTCCACAGTGAAAGCCATTTGACCATCCCAACCATCTTCTTCCCAGAGATAAGGAAAGGGTGCAATTTTTTTTTCAAAATGGCAGAACCCTGAAAAACATATTGTTGAGGGCTCAAAAAGTTCAGAACTGTCTGACTGCATTATCTGACCTAAGCTGCAGGTATGCACCAAAAAAATCAGTCAATGGCATTATAAAGAGCTGTCCCCTTCTTCCCTGTTTGAGATCCGTGTGATTTTAATCATCTTTGGTGAATTAATACTCACAGTACAGCTGTTACGAAGGGCATCAAATTTGCGCTGGATTTCATCTCTATGTGCCTAAAAGGTAAGAAGTTGAGTATAAATTTTTCATAGGGTAGAATACAATCCTACACGCTATGGGTCAAGCACAGAGAACAGCGATTCACCCGGGAAGCCAAGGATGCTGCTGCAGCAGTCCCAGCACCCATTTCTTAAAGGACTCATTAACCAAGTCAGCGCCGACATGGGAAATAAGGCAGAAGAACACAGGACGCTGTGTTTACAACAATTAGCTGTTTAGACCACACATGCACACCCTGTACAAATATTTTGAACATTCATATTAACGCCGAGGCGCTACTGGGAGAAAGCTGGGGAGGGGGCAGGAAGCAAGAAAGCCTCAAGCTCTTCCTCTCCTTTATTTGTCCCACTCCCATTGTGAAAATGAGTAATTTTCCTCCTTCTAACACGCACACACACACACAGGACAACAGGCAGGACGAAGCAGGGAATTTTTTTTTTTTTTTTTTAATCAAAAGCTTCTGAGATTCCCCAAACCCTACAACGATCTTGAAGTAAGCAGTCTTTCTCCAAGGCTTGTTCCCCTGACAAGCATTTTTTGAGCACATCCCACGTGCTGGCTGCCGTGGAAGGAAAGTGGCAGACGTGACCTACACCTTCACTCTAGGGGGGCAAGACAGGAAGTAAGTGCACACATGGGGCAATCACTGTGACGGAAACAAATGCAGGCTGGTGAAAGAGAATGAGACAGAACAAGCGCTTACTTAGATGGGGGTAGAACAGGAGGGCCTCTTGGAAGAGGTGACTTTTAACCTAAAGTGCCCAGGACAGGGAGCCAGTCAGGAAAAGAACAGGAGGTGGCAGGGGGAACAGCATCTGCAAAGACCCTGAGGCAAGAGGGGGTTTGGTGCATCTGATGAACAACAAAACGGCTGAGTGGCTTCAGCAGATTTTCCAGACTTCACACTGTGACCCCACAACAAGCATGGCAGCCGAGTTGTTTGTTTTCCTTGTCCCTGGTTTGTTGTAGCCAATGAAGTAGAATAAAGAGAAAACACCAGAACGTGGCTTGGGTCCTAAAGGTGAGCACTGTAATAGGAAACATTTGGTTCAGATAGCACAATTCATCGAAGTTAGGTGGCTGTCAACTGCAAGACCCATCACTGTATACGGGACATCAAGGAGAAAGTTACTGTCACCTACACTATGACAGGATATGGACATATGCAAGACACAGCCTGCTTTCAGATATCTCAGAATCGAGCAAATACAGACCACGAGGGGCTTCTAAAGTTCACGAGAGAGTGAGCAGTTAGCCTAGTGGATGAGGCTATCCCATATTCAAGTGCATAGCTTCAATTCCTGGCTCCAGCTCCTGATTCCACCTTTCTGCTTATGCAGACCCTGGGAGGCAACAGGTGATGACGGCTCAAGTAATTGGGTTCTTGTCACCCATGTGGGAGACCTGGATTGAGTTCCCAGCTTCTGGCTTCTGCCTTAACCCAGTCCCAGTCATTGTGGACATCTAGGAGTTAACCAGTGGATGGAAGCCTGCTCTTGCTCTGTGTGTGTGTGTGTGTGTGTGTGTCTGCCTATCAAATAGATGAAACATGGTTAAGTTTATGGAAGAATGGAATAAAGAGATTATGCAAATTTTCCATGAATTTTTCAAAGTCCACTTGTATATACTCTATTTCATTAGATTGCTAATAAAATAGATGTTCTTCTATTGGGTAGTAGCCAGACAATTTCTGAGAGAGCACAGTAACAAAGTTAAAAGGTAGCCAAAGATAATTATAGAGAGGGAGGCAGGGACCAAGAATCTTGAAGGTCCAGTGAAGAGCGTGGGTTTCATTCTAAATGAAATTGGAAACCAATAGAGGGTTTTAAGGAGGGGAGCAACAAGATCTGATTGTCATTTTAGGATCATCATGGATGTTGCAGGACGACTTGGATCAAAACAGAACAAAAGTACAAAGGCGAGAAACCAGTGAGGAGGTCGTGGTTCAAGCAGAGGGTAATGGAGGCTTGGAGTAGGAGGGGAGCAAACACAGATCAGCAACTGGAACGGAGATCTCTTTTGGAAAGATAAGCAAAAGGACTCCCTGGTGGGTGTACTGAAAGGAAAACAAAGAAAAAAAAAAACACACAAACAAAAAAAAAGGAGAAAAACCGGGCAGCCTAGAATTCTATACCCAGCAAAAATACCCTGGGTAAATGAAGCTGAAATAAAGACTTTCTTAGGCACACAAGAGCTGAAGGAATTTGTCACCAGCAGATCTGTGCTCTAAGGAACATTAAAAGAAGTCCTTTATGCAGAGGCAAAATGACATCCACAAATTTGGAGCTACACAAAACAACACTGGAAAAAAGGATAAAACAAAAAGACTCACAGAGCTATAAATTAAAATTTTTGGTTTAGAATAAACTTCTGAAATAATTAGCCTGTATTTATTTTTAAGGGTTAATTTAAGAAGTCATGATCCCCCCCCCCAAAAAAAAAAAAAAAAAAAAACTTTCTGCTTTCTCCCTAGTAACAATGAGAGGAGTGTTAATGTGATGGGGTCAGAACACCATTTGTTTCAAGTAAGAGCTTGGCTGAGACCTGCAACTGCTGTTGCAACTTCTCCTGTGAGCAGTCAGCAGCCTGGCCCCCAGGACCACCCAACCCCCCCCAAGGCAAAGATTCTTCCTGGAGGAATAACAAGGCCCCTGTATTAACTCCAGGTCAGGGGTCAGCAACCTTTTCCTTAAAGGGTCAGGTAGTATTTTCGGCCTGCAGACCATTTGGTCTCCGTCAGAACTTCTCAACTCTGCTCTCATAGAGCAACAGATGACCAACAGTCTGTAAACTCAGGACTGTGGCTGTGTTTCAATAAAACTTTATGTACAGAAAGCAGGCGACAGACTGAAGTTAGCTGGCTTGCTACAAACCCCAGCACTAAATGACTATTCAGTGTGAAATGTCCCCAAGACGGAAGCAGAGAAACGAGAGTGGACTCGATGCCTTCAAAGCAAGCACAGGCAGTGATCCTAAGGCAGGGATGGACCCTTGGGCCACATCCTTAAAATGTCCTACTTCCTTAACAGCAGCGCTTCCAAAGCCCACTACACCGCTGGTGGCCACACTGGCATCCGAAATTTCATCGCTGAAGCAGACTGATTTCTGTTCAAGTAGACCATTGCGGGCCGCTGGGCCACTTCACGGCATCAGGCGGCGGTCCTCTCTGACAGGAGGGGTAACAGACCACAGTCACTCAGCCTCCCAGTCATGACTGTGACACACACACACACACACACACACACACGCACCTGCCCTCTGCATGGCTGCCAGAGACACAGCAAGTACACTTAATGACTACGGAACTGATCTGAGCAGGAAAATGTTGAGGCACACATGCTTTCTCTAAAAACAAAACAAAACAAAAAAGAAAAAACAAAACAGACAAAAAAATAAACAAGTAGAGTAAAATGATACAAACTATAAGTTAAAACTGAGATCTTTTTAAAAGAAAGTAACAATCACATTGCTTCTGGTGGCATCAGTGCAACAGTGAACACAGTGGGAAATGATAAGCGGCATCCTGGTAGGATGGTGAAAAGTCTGACCTTGGGGACTCCTGTGGTGGTCCACAGACCCCCCGGGGGGTAACAAAGAGAAACGTGGGCCTTACCCAAGTCCCAGAGACACTCTCTTCTGGGAGTGTGTGTGCCTCTGTTAGTTCTAAGTGGAGCTACAAGAGGAAGACAGTGAACTACAGTGCAGCCTCGATGAGAGGAAATACTGGCAGAACTGTGGGACGGATAGCAGGGTGCAGCTGTCGGCCCCCTTCTGGGATCCCCGGCCAGAATTCCAGAACGCAGCCTTCCCAGCCTCCCGTCACCTGCTGACTGCAGGCACCAAGCCAATCTGTCACCTTACGTGCCCTGATGTCACATTCCGCTTATCATGCCAGTGTCTTACTAATTAAATACAAGGCTTGTTATTATGTGAGAAAATGAGTGTGCTGCAATTGATGTTTTCACCACATGCAAGAAGATGCCTTTGAGATCCCACAATCGCACTTGCAGGGAGGAGGAGTCCTGTCACTACTGTCTCCAGCCTCTGACTCTTGATTATTCAATGACTGCTTTGACCAAATCAGTCAGAGAACACGGCAGACAGGAACACAAAACATGTCCTTAAGGCCTCGCAGGTGTACCCAGGGTGCCGGGCAGCCCCATTCAGAGTGATGCTCAGATCCCACCACCCATCCTGTGCTGTGCAGGCTCAAATGCTCTTCCTTATCCAAAGAGATTACATAGGGCCTTCAACATCAAGGCCAGGCGGAACACTCTTTCCCACCAATAGATAACAAAGTCTCTGAAAAGCATGCTCCTGTTTAAATCTGACTCTCTGGCTTGTCTCTGCCTTCACTGGCTTTTGGATGGCCGTCAGTTCCAGTGCGAGTGGAATTGGCTGGATGAGTAAAGTGAGAACTAGGAAGGCTGACAGTGGCCTCCCAGCTGCCCTTGCCAAGCCTCTGCAGTGGAGCCCTGCAACTGGACACCACCCAACTCGGCCTGGAGGCGGGAAGCCAAAGCAGGTGACTGCTCCTTTCCCAGGCCAGGAGACGGAAGCCTCTTAAAATTAAGCAGTGGAAGAGTCCACTTGACCATGGCCTTTTATTGATCAAACAGCCTGCCATGGAGCTCACAAACCCGGCAGGAGATCATTTTAGATCTGGCTGGTTCGATTTGATGGATGCTTACGCTGGCTCAGAACTTGGGCCCCAAACAATGAGAGAACAGGGACGTATTGAATTTGTGACCATTTTCTCTTTTTCTTCAAAAATACATTTTTTCGGAGCCAGTGCAAATGAGCCACCCAGGCAACCACCACACGCTGGCTGTAACCAGGCTTACGGACGTCAAAAGGGGAGGGAGGTGCAGCCCACGGCCTCGGCACTGAACTGCGGCTCGGTGTGGACGCCTGCAGGATGGGCTTACGAAACAGCTGTTTGACTGAGGCTCTGCTGCCATTATTGCAAACGAGCCCTGTCTTCCAGGTACTCAGTTGAGTGCCACTTTCTAGATCGAGAGGGGTTTCTTGTTTTTTTTTTTTTTTTTGAAGATGCTCAAAGGCGGTGATGTCATCTGACTAAATTAAGTCGTGACTTGCTGCTGAGCTGGGCTCCTAGCAGCCACTAGACAGAACATGCCAACCAGCAGCAAGACAGGATTGAAGGGAGTAATTTCCCCACAGATAAACAGTGGTGACACATGCTCTGTTTTCTATCCTCCTCCTTCCAAACAGGGCCAGGGTAAGATACATGGCACCTCCCCTCCCAGGTTCCAACAGAGCAGCTAGATCAGTGTGTCCTTCCTGGCTGCTCCAAAGTAAAAGGATTTGAGGAATTACGGGCCAGTCCCCTGGGGGAGGAAAGGCAGAAGACACAGCATTAGGGCACACAGACAGGGCTCATTAAACATGGATTAAATCACTGAGGTCTCTTTCTCTTCCCTCCAGAGCTTGGGTGTTCATACAGAGGGGAGATATTAATATACAAACACAATGCATTAAATATAGTCGATGTTGACATTTAAGTGTCTCCCTCCAGCAACACAGTCTGTCTCCCTCTCCACGCACCCAGCTCCCGCAAATATATAAGCCTTCTTGGCGTGCACTCCTGAACACAATTTCGTTCTCATCGCTATTCTTTCCCCCTCCCCATGCCTTTTCTTTCTTCCCTTTTCCTGCTTTACTATTTTGCATCTCCCCAAACTGCTGTCAATCCATTCTGAAACAAAGCAGGATATAACCAGGGATACTGTGATTCCTTTTTTTTCCCCAAACCAAACACTTGGGCTAAGTGGCGTCTTTCTAATGAGCACGCTTACAGGGGATGATGGAACTTAAGCTTGCAGCTGGTCTCTGATCTGGGTATAAGACCTGCAAAAATCTAGAACGCATGAGCACTTTCCATACAGCAGTTACTCGGAATTTCCAGAATCCCAGAAGCCACCAGGTCCCTGACTGGTCCCACAAGGACCCTGACACTGTCACATGGTGCACACATTGGGCTCCCTAAGCTCAACAACAGCCAACAACTTTTAAAGATGAAGCTGTTTTAGGAGCCGGCATTGTGGTGCAGTGCCTTAAGCAGCTGCCTGCAATGCCAGCATCCTACATTGGAGAATCGGTTGGAATCGGCTGCTCTGCTTCCAATCCAGCTTCCTGCTAATGCACCTGGGAAAGCAGCAGAAGATGGCTCAAGAGCTTGGGACCCTGCTACCATGAAGACACACAGATAGAATTCCAGACTCCTGGCTTCAGTCCGGCCCGGCCCTGGCTGTTGCAGCCATCTGGGGAGTGAAACAAAAGATAAAAGATATCTCTCTCTCCTCTCCCTCTATATGTAACTTTGCCTTTCAAATAAATAAATCTTTTTATAAAAATTTTTAGAAAGGGGGGGACCAGCGCTGTGGATTAGCAGGTGGAAGACCCAGCTGCTCCAATCTAGATCCCTGCTGATGTGCCTGAGAAAGCAGTGGAAGATGGCCCAGGTGCTTGGGACCCTGCATCTACGTGGGAGACCCAGAAGAAGCTCCTGGCTCCTGGCTTCAGATTGGCCCATCTCCAGCCGTTGTGGCCATTTGGGGAGTGAACCAGCGGATGGAAGACCTCTCTCTCTGTCTCCAACTCTCTCTCTATAACTCTTTCAAATAAATAAAATAAATCTTAAAAAATAAAAAATAAATCTTAAAAAAATAAAAGGAGCTCCTGGCTCCTGCCTGGCCTGGCCCCTGCCATTGTGGCCTTTGAGGAATGAATCAGGGGATGGAAGACCTCTCTCTGTGGCTCTGCTTTCAAAGTAAAAAATCAAGACTTTCACTTTTGAATTACTTTTAAGCCAGGCAAGTCCTAAGCAGTGAGCACGCGCAGCCCCTGCAGGCATGCTCCTGTCCTAACACATCTCTAGCGATGCTCACCGATGGAGATGGGGCAGCATCCAAGTTGAGTCAGGATGCAAAACCACTCGGTCCAATCAGCTGCATCATGCCCAGACCACAGGGGAGGACGCCCTGACCGGCAGGCAGGAGTGTGCCCATCTGGTTGGCAGGTGCACTGACTATGAGAAATGCATGTGCTTGGGTGACACTCGGTTAGAACTCACTCAGCCTTCCCTGCCAGGAGCACAGGCCCAGTAAGCCGCCTTCCAGGGGGAACACGGTTTTCTAAGCGGACTTCCGAGCAGAGGAGAAAACAAGAGGATTCTACAAGCCGCCCCGAGGACCCTGGCTGACCCTTTAAGTTGCTAAGCCGCTACTTTACAGCTGAGACTCCTGCGAGCTGTGTGGGCCCAGGCAGTCCCTGTGAGAAGGATCAGCTAGGGGAAAATGCTCGCGAAGGCATCATTTTCAGGTTTCCAGGAAGAACCGAGGGTGAAACCCAGAGACCCCCCTTCCAAGTTCCACCTCCTGAGACCACGCTCCAGCTGAGCAAACACACAGCAGAGAAGAACTGCTCCCATCCAGATCATTCCAGATCATTCCAGAATCATGCAGAATACAGGAAGCAGAAGCTACAGTTTAAAAAAAGAAAGTAACACAAACGAGGGTAACCAAAACAGAACCAAAAATAGAGGTATTGTAGAAAGGACTACTTTAAGATACAAGATTATTTTTCTTTTAAGGATTATCAAAAACTAAAGTACAAGACCCAAGGGAACAGACTTCGGCTCAAACTGCAATTCAAAATAGCGATGGCTGCTTTAAAAGGAGAGAAGACATATAAATAAAGGAGGACGTTTCAAGATACTACAGAGAGCTGATGTTACCATCGACACTAGTAAGCATGCCAGCGACGGAGGAACCTATGGAAGCCATTTTCTAGCCATTAAACACCTCTGTGGGCCGTCCTTGCCCTCCTAGAACTCCCGAGCAAGCAAATACCCGCGGTGGCCCACGCATCCCCGCGGAGGCCCGCACAGCTCGCAGGCGCCGGCCGCACACCTACCGTGAGCGCCTGGATCTCCTCCTCCGCTTCCGCGGTCGTCTCCTCCAGCTCGGTCTTGGCCTGGCGCAGTTGGCTCTCCAGCGCCGCCCGCGCCGCCTGCAGCGCCGTCAGCTGGGACTCGCGCTCCTGCAGGGAGAGCTGCAGCTCCGTGAGCTGGCGCTTCAGCTCCAGCTTCTGCTCCTCGTGCTCCAGGCTGACCTGAGGGAGGAGGCAGGGGCCGAGTGAGGACGGAGAACACCACCTGCAGCCTCTGACCTGGCCGTGGGACCAAACCCCCAGTGCCGCACAGGGCGAGTGGAAGTGGGGGTGGGGCGATAGGTCCGAGTCCCGTGCATCTCAGGACCCAACAAGAGGGGAGGTCCGGCCAGAGCTGCAGTTTTGGATGTTAGTTTCCATGTCCCCTCAAAGGTCCAGGAGGTTTGGTCCCCAAAGTCTTGCTAGCGGTTAATGGGTTAATGTTAATGGATAATGGGTTCGGATGGGTGAAGGTGAGGCTTTGGGAAGTGATTAGATTGGATTAAGGTGCTGGGGTGGCGCCATGGCGGCTTTATAGAGACAGAGGGCCCCGTCTCTACTTCCTGGCTGGCCGTGTGATCCCGCCTCCGCACCTGTTCCACCATCCACTGCCCTCACCAGACCACTGGGGCCAGCAGATCTTCAAAGCCATGAGCCAGAATAAACTGTCTTCCTACATAAGTAGCTTCTGTCAGTTATGGTAACAAAACCTGACTCACACAGTTGGCGCTGTGTATCCACGGGGTCCACATATGGAGGAGATTCAATCAAGTTCAGATCAAGAGCACTTGGGAAAGAAATGTGTCATACTGAACACGTACAGACTATGTTCATTATTCCCTAAACGATAAAGTACAGTAACTATTTACACAGCATCTATATTTTATCAGGCTTTATAGGCAAACTAGAGATGATTTTAAACATACAGGAGGAAGTACATGCAGCTTATTCAAGAATACTATGCTATTTTATGCAAGGGGCTGGAGCATCCGTGGATTTTGGTATTAGGGGTCAGGGTGTCCAGGAGGCAATGCCCCACAGACACAGAGGAGCAACTGTATACCCTAACTATCCCTTACTTAGAGATATTCACATGCCTGGGAAGGCCTCCAAAGAAAACCACACAGCAAGAACCCCAAATGGAAGTGAGGATAATTACTCTTAATAGAAAAACATTGAAAGGTAAATGGATATAAATAATATCGTATTAGTAACAGGGACACTTTGATAATTAGGATGCAAATGGAACAAACTGAACTCTATTTATTTTAAATATCTCTGGCTCTGATCTGTTCTCATTAGGTTACCCACATTATTGTCACATTGTGAGTGAGTGATTCTTCCCTCCTCCTGTCTATCCATCCATCCATCCATCTACTCAATGTTTCATACACTAATTTAAGAAAAACTTACTCAGAAATTTCTGTGTGAAAAGGAATATGCAGATGAGAGAGGGGCTGGCACTGTGGCGTAGCAGGTAAAGTTGCTGTCTACAGTGCCAGCATCCCATATGGGAAGTGGCTGCTCCACTTGCAATGCAGCTCTCTGTTATGGCATGGGAAAGTAGAAGATGGCCCAAATCCTTGGGCCCCTGCACCCACGTGGGAGATCCAGAAGAAGCTCCTGGCTCCTAGCTTTGGAATGGCGCAGCTCTGGCCCTTATGCCCATCTGGGGAGTGAACCAGCAGATGGAAGATCTCTCTGCCTCTCTGTAACTCTGCCTTTAGAAATAAATAAATAAATCTTTAAAAAAAAAAAAGAGAGAGAGAGAGAGAGAGAGAAAGAGTGAGAGAGAGAGAGAGTCTCTGCCTTCAAGTTGGGGCAAAAGATGCCATACGCCATGGTCAAGTACAAAAGCCAGGGCATGGAGGTGTTGTGGGCAGATGAGAGGAGGAGGCAGTCTGGGGGTAAAGACAAGACGTTCAGACTTGGCACGCTGAACTTGAGCCCCAGGGAAGACATCCAAGTGGAAATGTGTAATATGGACTGAAACAATGGATCAGAAATTCAAGAGAAGGGCCTGGGTTGGTGATCTCCATCTGGGAGGTAGCTGAAGCTTGGGTTGTGATGTCTCTACTGTTGATGACTGTGACAACAATGATGGTGATGAAGATGATGTGATGGCAGCAAACACAGTGTTCACAACATGCCACCCACTATATTAACTCCTCTAATCTTCAAAACAACTCATGATGGAGGCACTGTTACTTCCATTTTATACATGAGCAAACTGTGGCACTGACAGATTAGGTACTTGTCAACCATCATATAACTTAAAAAAAAAATAATGTCAAGGCCAGCATTCACACCCAGGACATCTGGCTCATAGATGATGCACATTACTCTTTGTCTTATTAAAATGCCAGCAGAGCAGGCTAGGACACCCTGATGCCTCTTGGCAAAACCGTGAGAGACAGTGACACAGAGGCAAGGAGAGGTGGGGAGCTGGGTGCTGGACAACGAAAGAACCCAGGGGCCTTGCATCTTGGCCACGCCGCACCTTTTGCTGGGGAAAAGGTAACATTGCACATATGGGAGTTAGAGGAGGCCCAGGGCCCTTTAAGGTGGACGAACCTCAAGGCTGAGGCCTCTGCCCTCAATCTCTCTAGCAGCATGTGGCAAAGAGAAGACGAACTGGCCATGTTATATTTAGAGCTCAACTCCAAAACACCCAGGGAGAACATAGAGCTCTGAGCCTCTCATCAAACCTTTCAAGTTTCTCCTTCCATCTCTGGGAAGCCAACTACATTGATTCAAGAAAAAAGCCACAAGCTTCCTGGGGACATTTAAATAGCCCAGATGAGCTACAGCTGCAGGGCAGGCTCCCAGGGACAGATCCTGTGCAAAGCGACAGCAAAAGATAGCCAAAGTTCCCAAGCTAAAGAAAGCTGCCTGGGTTACTGACACTCACACTCCCAAGACGACCTCTACAGGGACATCTCGATCAATTTACCAAAGAGCAAAGATACAGCCTCAGATAGTTAAAGTTAAACCACCACCTAGGGCTTTGGGACAACCTGGAACATGGTTATGGAATTCCGAGGAGTGCGCAAATCACCCTGGAGCTTGTTCAAGGCACAAAGTCTTCATCCCCTGCCAACCCCCTGTAGTAAAGGTGACACTCTGGTGATGCCAGTGCGGGTGTCCACACCTTGACAATCTCCAAAAAACATGGGTCATTCGTTTTTTCTGTATTTGGAGAACAAACTTCATTTCAGGATCCCAGTACATGCCTAAACTTGGATTCATGAAAATTGAGTCCTCAGAACGCCATCCTGGTTAACAGTCATTTCCTTAAGAAAGACCATCTGCTCTTTGAGGAAATCCATCACAAGTGTATGAGCACATGCGATACACGAGACACTGCATGCTCACCCCCAGTTTTCCTGAATTCTGGTCCTGGTTTCTGCGAGGGCCAACTGACTCTGCCCCCTAGGCCACAACAGCCAGGACCAGGAACAGGTCTGTCCTGTCACTACTATACAAGGGCACTTCACAACCTTCATGGAAAATGTAAATAGATAAGTTTACTTTGGTGCAAAAAAAATTGAAATCCACACACAGTTTTTTCATAAAACGTATTTTCCATGAATTCTTTGAAGACCCCTTGTATATCCTGGCCACTTCCGGGCACACAGAGGTCTTTCAATAAATACGTCATGAATACACAAGTGTGACTTCATGTCTTCAGTGAGCCTCAACAAGTCTGCAACCAAGCTTGTCTTATTTCCCTCCCCCAAACCGGCTGCTCCTCCCAGCTTCCTGATGTCCAAGACCACAACCACCTCCTAGCAAACGACCCTAGTTTGGCCTAGTCTTTGATGAGACTGCCACCATCACCAAGCCAGGCTCTGTGCTTGCACGACATCACAGGGCCCTCAGGAAACCCTGATCACGCAGGATTCAGTCTGCTCCCACGGGACAGGTGCACCCATTTACAAGAATTCCCATGCAACCCCATGAAGGAGACACGTGTGCACTGGCAATTTACAGAGAGGTCAGTCTGCAACACTAACAGGAAATGGACGTGGAATTCTAACCCTGATCCACAGGCCCAGTCCACACTTTGGAACCCTATGCACAATGGCCCTTGTATGTAATGTTGCCTTACGGTAGAAAGCTGGGCTGTTCAGGGTCCAACAGATTCTGCCAGAGGCTCTGCCCCTCGCTCTAGCTCCGCCCCTCGCCCTCACCTCCCGCAACCGCGTCTCCAGCTCCAGCAGCCGGTTCTTGTCGCTGTGGTCCTGGTGGCTGATTTTCTCCAGCTGTTCTTCCAGCTTCCGGTTCTGGGCCTCCAGTTTCCCAGCCTGCGTCTCCAGGTAAAATTTCTGTTGCCTGAGTTCGGAAATCATCTCTTCCTGGGCCTTCCTGGTGGGGGTGGCGGCAGGGTCCAAACAAAAAATCACAATCGCGTAAGGGTGAGCCTGTCCCCCTGGAGGGGCGGCCAGGGGTGGAATGAGACACGCGTCCGCATTAGGTGGAGTGTGGTTGCTCCAACATTAGCTGTCAGCTGACCCAGCCTCGTAGGCACGATCCCAACATGCGGAGGCCGGGGACCAACTGAGTCATCACCACTCAGAGTTCTTCACCTATGGGATCTAAATATGCTTGAGGGGGAAGCGAAAAGAAGCTAACTGTTCACTCCTTTATTTTCCTTCGAGAGGCTCCACTGAAGAGCAGCAAGAAGCCCCTGTGGAGTTCAAGGGTGGCCCCAAAACTCACAAACACAGGCCCTGCAGAAGCAGCAGCAATGAGGGGAAAGAATCTCTGCCTTCTACTTCGCTGCTCATCTTCCCCAGTGGACTAAGAAGTCTCAAAACCCAGAGCAACTCAATGCCCGCAAAGCAGCCAGCCAAGCAAGCTGATTTTGACTGAGATGGGAATATTTGGGAAGATAATCTGAAGACAGACACTCATGGGCAGGGGGCGGGGATCCTAAAGAATGCGATTCATGGGGATCTTAGTTTCTTTAAAGATTTTAACAGATTAAGACACATCAAAGCGCTCCTATATATGGACAGTCCTCACTGAACCCCAGACTTCCTGCCCCAGGGCCTGGCCTAACTATAGCAAAATGCATGCCCCAAACTGGGCACACGCAAAATCACTCCCTACTGATTCGGGGAGGCAGGTCTGGGGAATAAGGACCCAAAATTTCCACACACAAATCATAAATAGCTTCATTAGAGACAGCAAAACACTCTGTAATCTGATGGTGATCTGAGGCACTTAAGAAAACCCAGCTCCAAAGAGAATGCGCAGTGAAATGAGACCACTTAAAACAAAATTACATGAGCACAGACGTGATTAAATCCGCTCCATCTCCATCAGATAGAGGCAGAACGGAGTCTATGCCCCAGGAGAGAAAACCAAAGTGCAATCAAGCCAAGTTAGACACTGAATACTCACATGTTCCTTTGGGTAAAAAGACTGCTATTTGCTGCAAGTTTATTGGCTTCAGACAGCTCCACGATCCTCTGTTCCAGGGATCTGATCTTGGAATCCATGGCATTGATCATCTGAAACACAGAGGACCTTTGGAACCCCACCGGCAGACACTACACCGGAATAGGATTCATGTGGACCAGGGTGGCGGGGTGCTGGGGTGCAAGTCTGGTCTGACACGAGGAACTCAACCAGTCTGCACCCGAGGGTCACAGATATTCCCACTCAGAGGGAGGGGCCGCAGCTGTTTGTTCAACAGACTTAAAGGTCTTCACACAAGCTACATGGTTTGCACAAAAAACATGTAGAGGAACCCGTGCAGGACGCGGCATCCTGCAAGCAAGCCTCGGTACAGCTCTGTGTCATCGGCAGGTGACCCGGGCCTGCAGGTTCACATTCATCATCTCCCACAGAGTTGTCACTTCCCAGTGACTCCTTCTCGCTCGCCCAGCCGCAGTTGTTCCAACCCTCTACATCAAAGTGTCCCAGATTTAATGAATTGTAACTTTCCCAGGACCCTCGCTTACAGATTCTGATGTGCAAAGTCTCAGTGGGGTCTGAGACAATGTGTGTGTTAACAAGGGTAGGGTCAGGGTTAACAGAGAGAGAACAGGCAAGTAAGAAGCAACAAAAAGTGAGAGACTGAGAGCCACTGGGCATTTTGAAGAACCCCATCCCAGCAGGTAGGAGATCAGTGAGAGCTCTTGACAAAGAGCACAGAACTGGTCACGCGGGGCCCCCTGCTCTGCTACCTTTAGGTGAGGAAGCAGGTGCAGAGGAAGCGTCCTGCTATCCACAAACCCCAGGGGACTTGACAGAAAGAATGCACCAGATGCAATGGAGCCTTCCCAGGTGGGTGATTCTTGGCATTTCCAGAAACCCCTCCTTCGAAAGCTGGCTTTGCGAGTCCTCCACCTACCGCCTTCTGCTCGCTGAGGATTTTGCCTTTCTCGTGGGCCTCCTCTTCGTGTCTCTGCATCAGGTTCTCCAGACTCTCCTTATCAGCCAGGTCTTTCTTTATCTGATTGTCCAACACCTGCAGGAACAAAGGAAGAAGTGAATGGAGACCTTCAAGGCAAAGCAGAGCCTGGAAGATTCAACCCAGGTTGGTGTCAAGGAAGAGGCAAAAACAGTGAGGAGGTCTCAGGCCTCCAAACTGGAGTGAAAAGAAAGCAGAAATAAGGAGTCTATCGACTGTGATGAGATGGAGGAATCAGGACCCACCAAGAAAAGGCAAGTAACAGGTGGACATAAACTAAGAAATGTATTTAAAACCAGCAGCCAAAAAGCCCAGAGAGCTCTTGCCCAAACAAATTAGACGCCTGGATGGGGAGGGAATGATATCTCCCTAGTGATCTTGACCTAGAGAATAAAGTTCTGATCGCTTGCGGTTTTTGCCTGGAGATAAGATTTTCTTAGCCAATGTGTTCTGTGCTAATCTGCACAAAATTAATTCTGCATACTCCTGGGCTATGTGCAGAGGGACAGACACTGAAGTCTGCAACCAAGGCCAAGGATGATCACCAACAGCCAGGGACAAGAGGATGTTGCCCACTGAAAACACAGGTGGATGGTTAACAGATTGAAAAGACTAGATAAAAGAGAAAAAAAAATGCCTCTCTCTTCCAATCATTCCTCTCATGCAGCAACAACAACAACAAAAAAAGTCACCAGAAGGAAAAATCTTTCCCAGAGGATAGGAAATCATGTGTTCTCAGTGCTAGGAGCGCCACTGTTAGCATCTACTGTTCCTAAAGAATAAAACAAATCAGCTACAGTGTCACCAACCACCAGCTCCATCTAACTTTCTGCGAAACACACACAGCTCCTCCCGGTCACCAAAACGACATGCAGGGAAGAAAGGGAGAAGGCAGGCGTTCAGACTCACCCAAGCCTCTGAGCACAGCCCTGTGGCTCACATCACAGACACTCTACCCAGCTTTTCCAAATGACACCAAAGGCGTCAAGGAGGACAACAGGAAGGACGAAGGCTGAAAACCACCTTTCCCACAATGCCTATTGTGAAAGGACTTCACAGCGCGTGGCCAGTAAGCAGGGAGGGGGCCCGCAGTTTTAAGAAAGGAAAGAACAAATTTCAAAGAGGGCTTTTAACTACAGCTGACTGATGGGGAAAATAGGGCAGTGTCGGTGGAGAAGAGCGGACGGCTGGGGAACAGGGTCATGAGAAGAAGGCTGCAGCTCGGCGGGACAGGCGACCCGTTCTCCTGGACGTCAGAGCACAGTTCTAGAACTGTGAGCGAGAACAGGGCAGAATCTCGGGTGTGAGCACAGTCATTACTGAGAGGGTCTCACAGAGGCCAGAACAGGAGACGTAAAGCAGAACAGGACATAAACAAGTGGTTTTATACAATTCCCAGTAAAAACAACCGAAGAAAACAGATCTCTCCCTAACAGACCTTGGGATCCACAAACACGGTTCTCTCCGTCTAGAAGGTGGTGGAGACCGCAGGAGATGTAGACTGGGCATGCGCCTTTCTTACAAGTGCTTACGCAATGAGATACACTCTCAGGAATGGGACCTCAACCTCCTCAGTGATGAACAGCAAGAGGAGAGTGGGGCCGGGAGGGACGAGCTGCCATCAGGAACGCACACATCTCTTAGCTCGGAGAGCACTCAACAGGCAGAAGGATGAACAACAAGATGTTCAGGGGAGATGGGGGAGTGAGGACCAGGTTTGAAATGAGATTCCACTGCAACGCATCTACGTCAATTTAAGATAGAATGCGGCATTTGACAAGAATGTCAATATAATCACCCAAATCATAGGATGGGTTTCAGAGAATTATTTTTATCATGCAAATATGCCAATGAACTACCGTGTGTGTAGTCGCATCATTTCCTGAAAATTAGCTTATTCTAGAGATAAAAGTCTGGAAGCCAGAAGGTACTCAAACCAAAAAGATTGGTAAAGTTTAAAATGCACTAAAGTAGGAGGTCACATGAGAACACCTTGAAGTCATCGCTAGATAATTTTCACATTGATGAAAAAAAAAAAAAAAAAGAGACAAAGGAAAGAAGGTGGGATGGGTCTTCTCCTGCTGGAGGTCCTGGGCTCCAGTCCCAACCCTGCTCCTGACCCCAGCTTCCTGCTAACGCACAGCCTGGCAGGCAGCGGGTGATGGCTCCAGCACTTGAGTACCTGCCACTGGTTTGGAAGAAAGACTGAGTTCCCAGCTCACAGCTTCGACCTGGCTCAGATCTAGCTCTGAGAAAGTCTGGAGAGTGAGCCCGTGGATAGGGGGAGCATACCTGCACGCACACTCCTACCATTTAAACAAATAATAAGTAAATATAGAAAAGCAGGTACCAGGGAGGTGATGGCAGTGACACTGTGAGAACCTCTGAATGTTTGGTCTCACTAAAGAACCACTCTCCTCTGAGAATTCCAACCAAACCGATTCTAAGATCACCACAGACATTGAAAACTTCCTTCAATGTCTGATTGGAAGGGGAAGTGACAGTGTTTGAGATATAATGACCAACCTGTGATTACCAAGAGTGGAAGAATGGGGGCCAATGGTGTGGCTCAGTGGGTTAAGTCAGCACTTGTGACACAGGTATCCCACACTGGAGTGCCAGCTGGAGTCTCAGCTGCTCTGCTTCTGATCCAGCTCCCTGCTAATGTTCTGGGGGAAGCTGGGGAAGATGGTCCAGGTGCTTGGGCCCTGCCACCCCAGATGGAGTTCCAGGCTCCTGCCTTTGACCTGGACCAGCCCCAGTTGCTGTGGGCATTTGGGGAGCAAACCAGGGACTAGAATCTCTGTCATTCTGCCTTTCAAATAAATAAATGAATCTTTCCAAAAAAAAAAAAAAAAAGAATATAAGAATATAACAATGAATGAAAGGCTTGGTAGAAATTTATGATAATGTGATTTTAAAAAGAAATTGAGGCCGGCACCGCGGCTCAATAGGCTAATCCTCCACCTAGCGGCGCCAGCACACCGGGTTCTAGTCCCGGTCAGGGCGCCGGATTCTGTCCCAGTTGCCCCTCTTCCAGTCCAGCTCTCTGCTGTGGCCCGGGAAGGCAGTGGAGGATGGCCCAAGTGCTTGGGCCCTGCACCCCATGGGAGACTAGGAGAGGCACCTGGCTCCTGCTATCCACTCTGCCTGTCAAAAAAAAAAAAAAAATTGATAGGCTGGCATCTATATCCATTTCTGATAATATACTGGACAAGGTGTCAGGCCCGCCCTTCAACTGAAAATGATTTAAAATGATAGATAAAATATGGTAAACATTCTCTCAAAAGCACCTAGCTGACAAGACAGTAAGAAATCACATAGCAAAATCTAAGTGGAAACAGAAGCAAGAAGAGGTAAGGATAGTAAGCTGTTTTAACCTGAGGTAGTTGCTGAAATGAAAGAACTTAAGCTTCAGCTTTGATAGCTTCAAAGATCAAAAAGAGAAAGATATCAAAGCCCATGGTCATCTCCCAAAATGGGCACACATTTGTACCCATGGCCTCAAAGAATTTCCATCATTAATTTTCCAAGGAAAACACACAGCTCACTAAGCACACACAGAGAAAAAGACACCATAACAAAGAACCAACAGAACAGAGCAAAAACAGATCTGAACACAATCATGCTTAATGCATCTAAAGAAGTAAAAGACTTGAAAATGAAGGAAAGAATAGGCAATTACTGTCTTGAATAATCTAATAAACTCAGGAAAGAACAACTAAAATGCCTAGAAATAAAAAACACAATAACTGAAGTTAAAAACTCAATGGATGGATCTAATAGATTAAACACAGCTAAGAAAGAATTTGTGAGGCCAGTGCTGTGGCTTAGCTGCCATCTGCAGTGCCGGCATCCCATGTAGGCACCAGTTTGAGTCCCAGCTGCTCCCCTTCTAATCCAACTCCCTGCTAACACACTTGGGAAAGCAGTAGAAGATGGCCCAAGTCCTTGGGCCCCTATACCCATGTGGGAAACCTGGAAGAAGCTCCTGGCTCCTGGCTTTGGCCTGGCCCACGCCTGGCCATTGCAGCCATTTGGGGAGTGAACCAATGGATGGAAGATTTCTCTGTCTCTCCCTTTCTCTATCTGCAATTCTGTCTTTCAAAATAAGTCATTTAAAAAAAATGGGTGAAATAAACACATTTTCAGAAAAAACCAGAGAGCCTGTTACCAGTGGACACGACACTTCTCAAGGGTACATTTTAAATAACAGGAATAGAGGCTCAGGTCTGAAATGCCAAAAATATACATATATACATACATATATATATATATACACATACATATATATATATTCTTTACGCAAAAACTGGTGAATGCATGGCTCAATCTAAATGACTATCACCTAAATGACAGTGGGCAAAAAATAAATAAATAAATAAATAAATAAATAAATAAAGATGCAGTTGAGAAAGTTAATGACCAAATTTAAACTTCAGATTTGAAACGTCCCCCCACGGAGGAAGGACAGCATTTACCCACGAAGTCCTTCAGTCTAGCAGGAGGTGGCTGAAAGTACCCAGGGACAGAGGGGGGCTGGGCACGCTCGGGGGGGCGTCAGAGGAGATCAGAAAGTGTCTTTACTTTGATTTTTTCCTCGTAGTGCTGCTCTTTCTGTTTCAGGTGTACTTCCAGGTGCTGCGCTGAGACCTGGGCTTCCCGGTGTTTCTCCTCCAGCTCCTGCACATAGGAAAACAGATGGTTAGGTGTGCAAAGGGCAGGCCATCACAGCAGACGCTAGACATTCAGAGGAAACATGACTTTGGTACAGCACCACGGGTAGCAGGCAGCTGCTCCTCCATTTCTAGCCCTGAGGTTCTTGGGAAGGAAATCACCACAGTTCTTTGGCCCTGGTTCTCCATGTCCGAGTGTTCACACACGGATATGCACACAGCTGGTGGGCTGTGAGGCCTGGGATCAGAAGTTTGTCACCATGACAGGTCAAAGCCAGCTCTTCATCTTTGCACAGAGAAATACGTGGAACAAAGCAACATTTCCAAGTTTAGGGCAGCACAAAAGCTCCTGACTAGCATCTTGAGTCTCGGGTCACTTCCACTGCTATGATGGCCTTCAGCAAGAAAATAACTTTGATTGATTGCGATGATAAAGAATATTTTGCATTGCTCAAGAACCCTAGCTAAAAAGGAAAACTAACATTATGACATGACTGTAGTGCTTTTTTGGAGGGATTATTTTAACTGACTGGTGTGAACAGCACAGGAGTACCTAGAGATGTGTACATAATATAATGTCTATATGACACGGTGCAAACGGGAACCGAGCTGAACATAAAACACATCGATAGTAGTGACGTAGAAATGCATGCACATTCACGTTAAAGACGGGAAGAGAATTTGGAGTAACACAAGTGGCTCTGATTTAATGTTCTCTCAGTTCTTTGTTTCCTGCTTTTAAATGAAATCGTGATTCATTTTTGAAAATTATACCAATTCATTTGCCAGAGTATTATAAACGGATCTTTTAAAAGGCAGCATTCAGTTCACTAAAACAGTCTCTACACGCACAAGGAGCTGCATCTACATTAATTCCCGTGAATCTGGACCCATTAGTTAATTACCAGGATCAAAAGTCATCACTCCAAGTTTTCATCTCTTCATACCATCATGAAATTTTTCTTTGAAGTGGAAGCAATTATGAGAATTTTGAAGGATGAGGAAACTATAGAGGATATGTCCATAAAATGGGATTTAAAAAGTACTTTGAGATTCACATGCACAAAAAATATTAGCAATTCAGCTTGGTAAATTCTAAAAACTGCAAGCGTTGGCTTTGCTTTGGTGGCCACTAAAGTAGTCGAGCTTAAAGGCCAGGTGCACAAAACCTATTGTAATCTAACAGATGTGATCTTAAAAAAGTCGAACGTGAACAGGACTGTAATTAATGAAAATGTGCTTTAAGGGCCTACGTGGACCCACGTACAAGGTGCCCTACAAGGACTTCCTCTGTTAGAGCAGACGGCTGCTGCCACGCTGCCCCGATTCCCGCCTTTGAGAGTTCTTACCAGAAAGGAAGCTGCCCTAGAGCAGGTGACATTTTGGGATCTGTTCCAAGCGTCATCATTACATAATGGTGTTCGGGACCACTCTCTGCCCTTCTCCTAAGGACTCTGTGGCCTGAGCACGGGGCTCTTGAGCAAAAGGTATGTTCTGATAAATAAAGGCGTCTGGTCTGCATACCAGCAGGCATTGACAACGCATAACCCGTGAACACAGAACTCCACCCTCCTGTGTTGCAGTGACAAGGGAACCTTAGGAAAGCAGATATTCTGCAGCCTGACTTCTGGATGGTTTGGCATTTTTTGTTGTTGTTGTCATTTTTTAAACATCTCTTTTCTATATGTAGGAGATCAATCCTTCATTGTGGTTATGCAAATACTGCTGTTTGCTGCTATATTTCCAGCTCCTGGAACAGTGCCTGGCACATAGTAGAAGCTCATTAAATATTTGTTGAATGAATGAATGAACACATCACCATTAAACAGAGAGACACTTTGCAACCACAAGAGAGTTAATCACTTCATTTGTACCAAGCAAGGGATAGTGGTGGTGGGATCTCAGTGAGGTCTAATTTTTACTTACAATAAAATCGACACACTTGACAATAGCCAAGAGAAACTTTGATGACGGAACAAGAGAACAGATAGAGTAGACTAACAGTCACATTTGTCTTTCTGTGCAGACATATACATGAAGACTGGGTGTCAAAGCAAAACAACTTAACTGATTCCTCTTTTCTCCGTTTGTTCAAGAACTTCCATATATTTACAAATCTACGCAGAGAAATGCACTGTTTGGAAAGGCTCAGGTTTGGTGTGGTATTAAGTGCTGCCTAGGCCTGTAAGCTGGCCATTCCTGAGTCTGCACAGTTAACAGTGACTCATTTCCCACAAGTGATGCAAAGAGAGAGAGAGATGAAGCGGCCTGCTCACCACCTCCCCTCCTTATGGTGGGGAGAAAGGGCCAACTACTTCAGAGCCTCTCCTAGGGGTGGTGAGGGGGTGGGGCGGCTTAGGAATGGACGCCAGTCATCACTAAGTCTCTCAAACGTGACATCAGATCTCGGGCTTTGCACTGAGATCCAAGCAGAGCCCTTCAAAGGGGCCACCTTCCACCCTGGCAGGGCAAAACTGCAGCGCGTCCACCAGTGCAACCCAGGCATCCCTGCCGCCAACCTGGTCACCAGCGCCCAAGACCGAGTCAGGACCATCACAAACCCAGAAACAAGACCCGCTCCACTAGGGAGAGGGAAACAAGCAATAACCAAGTGTAGCAGAGAAAGCGAGTGGGTGAAGGTGGACCTATGACAAATACTACTCGGAGAAAAACAATCCTGTGTGACTAATTTCTTTCTTCTCTAAAAGCAAGAACCCAGGTTTCAGTCTTAAAGGTCCAAACCCCTATAGCTTTTAAAATTGCAAAGTTAATGACCCTACAAAGCTCCGCTGAGAGAAGTAGGTAGACGCACCCACAAAAATGGATCGAAAATGAAAGATGCACATTCTACTAAAAAAAATGCCAGGCAGTAGCAAACCGAGCAAAAAAATACTACTTAGAGGTCTGTTTCCAGTGCTGAAATGTCCAGTGTTCGGTTATCCGTGCTATCCTACGAGGTGGCTCCCTCCGCTCACCTACGGGGCGGCACCTCCCCTGCTGTGACAATTAGTTCTCCTCCTTACCCCCTTCCCTTGGCAACCTCTAACCTGTTGTCTTTGAACTCGTCAACCTCCGCTCCTGCTCACCAGGATTTTATCAGCCATCTGCTGGATCTGTTGGGATTTTGTCTGGATGTCATCCTTCAGTCTGTTTTCTCTACGCTCCATGGTCTCTAGCCTCTTAACCTTGTTCTCCAGAGAATGGCGGCGTTCCTGTAGATCGTGAATCAATCAGAGAGTTTTAATGGCGTAACTGCTACGGGCACAACACCTGCACCGAGGCAGAGTCCCCAGGAAGCAAACGTTCGAGTCGGGAAGACAAGTGTCAGGCACCCAAAGCAACGGCGGAGGAAGTTAAGATGCTATGGTTCAGGGACTCAGTTGTGTAGGTTACAAGAGTGCATTCATTCATTCAAATATTTACCAAGCACCTACTATCTGCAAAGCACCCCGCTAGGCATCACGGGAAAAAGAGAGGAAGATGGCATAGTTCCTGCCCTTGGGAAAGATAAGACAAACACAAACACACACGTTATAGGTTAAGAGGGGGAAGAACCATGAGGCAAACAGGCACCCGGGGAGGTGGGAGGCGGCGGGCGGGGAGGAGTGCTTTTAGCAGATCGGTCAAGTGGAGGAGGCACAGAGGTGGGAGCTCCGGAGACTGCGTAGGGCCCTTTGAGGCAGGGAGGGTGGAGGGCATTTCACAAGGAGGCGGGCACATTTGCAAAATCACGGAGGTGGTCAGGAGCCAGTTTGCGTTCTCAGTAGAGTCCAGAATGGCCATACAGCCATTTGTCAGCTGGGCAAGCAGGTGGAATGGTAGCATTTATGGGTCAAATGGTTGAGTCTCCCGTACCAGGTTCTGGGGTGCACGTAGGATACACAGATGTAGGTTTGGGATGGCGCACAAGGTGTGTAGGGCCCAGGAAACTTACACTGTGTGAGCTAGCTGGGAGGAAGGAAAGACTGGATGGAAACAAAAGGTCAATAAAGCACTATGTTTGCTCAGCTAAGAGGAAAGGGGCCGGGACAGGCTACAAAAATGACAGGCCGGGGATGCAGGAGAGAGCAAAGCGTGTTTACAGGACTGGGTGAGCAGCGACTCCAGGGTCAGGACAAGCTGAGTTTGCCAAGCCTTCACGCCTAGGGTGACCAAACGGATGCTGGTGGCCCCGACCAGACTGGGACCCTGAGGAAAGAGGCCAGGCTTGGGGGAAAAGGTACCGAGTCCATTCCAAATCTGATGCACTGTTCAGACACCCAGCTGGGGTTACAGGCGAGCAGTGGAAAATGCAGCCGGGAGTGGGGGGTGAGGATGGCCCCACAGAATCATATTCCAGAAGGTTCACGCCAAGACCATGATAGGCAAAAGCAAATGACCCAGCAACAGGAAGACGGTGAGATCAACTGAGCTCCACCCATTCTGCAGGCCAACACCGAGGGGTGGGGGAGGCAGGGAGGAGTAAGGGGCAAGTGTCACTTTTTACTCTATTTTCTTCTGTTTTGCTTTAGGTTTTTGTTTCCTTTTTGTTTGTTCTGACAACGAAAAGGCACTTGTGTATTTCTGGTATAATTATTGTATCAATGATTTCAACAATTAACAACAACAACAACAACAACAAAGAATTTGAAGGCGAGAGGAGGCCCAAAAGTGTAGCTCCGAGAGTCGTGACACGCAGATGGACGGGGACAGCCTTAAGAACCAATGTGATCGGCAGTGTGGGGGTGGGCAGGGGCCAGGGAAGACAGAGGAAGGAGAAGGCGGCGCGCAGAGATGGAGTCACGGTCCCCTGCAGAAAACAGACCCTCCCAGGTGACTGCAGGCCAGCGGGAAACAAACAGCGAGGGAGGGCTCTCCGCTTGAAGCTGCCACGGCAGATCCTGCTTCCGCCTCGGGGGAGCTGTTTCCAAGGCTCTCGAGTTTCAAAGGGACCTTCAGAAGGAAAAGCTTGGCCAAACATCAGCAAGTGACGGCTTCGCGGTTTCTTTCCCTGGGCACAGCCAAAGGCCAGCTGTGGTCTCAAGGTCAGGCATGCTCGGCCACGCCGGGGCCCAGGGTCAGTCAGGCGTGGGCCAGGGGCCCCTGCTCACCTCGGCTTCCACCAGCTTCTTTCTGATGCCTTCGGAAGAGTCCTCCCGGTTCTGCAGCTTCTCCAGCTCCCTCTCGGCGCGCTCCTTTGCCTGCCGGATGTTCTGCAGCAGCTCGGTGGCCTCTGTGCTGGCTTTGACAGCCTACAAGGACAGCGAGAACACAAGATGATGCCCAAGCTTACTCACTTCAAAAAGATGGTGACGACGGGGCCAGCGCTGTGGTGTAGCGAGTAAAGCCACCACCTGCAGTGCCAGCATCCCATGTGGGCACCGGTTCGAGACTCGGCTGCTCCACTTCTGATCCAGCTCTCTGCTGTGGCCTGGGAAAGCAGTAGAAGATGACCCAAGTCCTCAGGCCTCTGCACCTGCATGGGAGACCCAGAGGAAGCTCCTCACTCCTGGCTTTAGATCAGTGCGGCTCCAGCCATTGTGTCTAATTGGGGAGTGAACCAGCGGATGGAAGACCTCTCTCTCTCTGCCTCTCCTTCTCTCTGTGTAACTTTGACTTTCAAATAAATAAATACATCTTTAAAAAAAAAAAAAGATAGTGATGCTGTCCTAAGTGGGAAAAGCAGTACCCTGAGTTCACACGCAGCACCTGCTCTGCGCAGCGTGGAGGCGCTGGCTCTGCTCTGCCTCTGGTCTAATCTGAGGGTGCGTTTCCTTCAAAGCAGCACTGGCTTAGGCATGCACTCTGTGATCACAGCGGGTGTGCTTTTCTTTCTGTGGTACAGGCGAGAGTGTTGTACGTGACAATCATTAGCATCTTCGATCAATCGGATGCGGTGCAGCAAATGCAAATGAACAGGTCTACGTGGACTGCCACCCAGGAACTACTGCAGGAACCTCTGCGTGCTCACTTTCCTTATTTTAATTCTCTCATTTGCTAGTCATGCAAGGGAAAATGTGTGGTGCATTTACAAGAAAGTAAGACCAAAGCTATGGCCGGCGCCACAGCTCACTAGGCTAATCCTCAACCTGTGGCGCCGGCACACCGGGTTCTAGTCCCGGTTGGGGCGCCGGATTCTGTCCCGGTTGCCCCTCTTCCAGGCCAGCTCTGCTGTGGCCCGGGAGGGCAGTGGAGGATGGCTCAAGTGCTTGGGCCCTGCACCCGCATGGGAGACCAGGAGAAACACCTGGCTCCTGGCTTTGGATCAGCGCAGTGCGCCAGCCGCGGCGGCCATTGGAGGGTGAACCAGCGGCAAAGGAAGACCTTTCTCTCTCTCTCTCTCTCTCTCACTGTCCACTCTGCCTGTCAAAAAAGAAAAAAAAAAAAAAAAAGACCAAAGCTATCATTTAAACTTTTTCTTTTTGCAAACAAATACCTTTCAAAGTACACAACAGGGTGTTGTGATCATTCACAAATCCATGTCTTTCTAAAAAAAAACAGCTGAGCCTCTTAAAGCGAGTTTTGTATTTGCAAATTTCTGTTCGCGTCTTCACTGCAGCTCTCGCGGCACTTCGGCGAAGATCTGAGTTCTGAGACGGAGGACTCACACTCACTGGCTTTGATGCTAACTTCTCAAAAGAATGAATGAGAACTACAAGAGAAGTCCGAGACCTGCATTGTCCCACGTGAGAGCACCAGCCACACGCGGCCACTCAGTCCTTGCAATGTGGCTGAAAATCAGTGTTTAAAATTTCATTGTTAATTTAGCGAAGTTAAATTTAGGTTATTTCAACACACTAATTTTTAAGCTTAAGCTTAATTAACTTAAAAACTGAAACAATATAAATGCCACAATAGTGATACATCCTACAGTGACACTATGTTTTATATACTGCCCTCAGAATGTCTGGGTTCAAGACCCAACCTGCTTCCAGTTCCAGCTTCCTGTTAATGCAGGCTGGGGGAGACCACAGGTCATGCCTCAAGTTGATGAGTTCCTGTCGCCCACGTGGGAGACCGGGATGCAGCTCCTGGCCCCTGGCTCCAGCATGGCCCAGGCCCTGGCTGCTTCAGGCATTTGGGGGATGAATCAGCAGATGGGAAGTCTCCACCTCTACCTCTCTCTCTCTCTCTGCCTTTCAAATAAATGAAAATAAATGTTTTGAAAGGAGGGGACAGGGAGGGGTAAAGAAATGAGGGTGATCCATACAATGCCACGCGATTCAGTTTCGAAAAGGAAGGCGATTCCAATACAGGTGCTACATGAATGGAACTTCAGGACAGCATGTCGGGTTAAGGAAGCCAGTCACAGAAGGTGAATACTACGTGACTGCCCTCCTGGGTGCTATCTAAACAGTCAACACCATACAAGCAGAAAGTAGAAAGGGAGCTACCAGAGCTGGGGCGAGAGCGAGAGCAGGGAGGGACTGGTGTTTGCTGGGTACTGAGTTTCACTGTCACAATGTGGAATGTTCCAGGCATCCATTCCCCAACAGTGCAAATGTACTCAGCACCACTGAACTACACGAGCAAATAGGGCTAAGAGGGTAATTAACATTGCCCGGCTTTTAGCACAATTTAAAAAAAAAAAAAAAGGGAAGAAAAAAATGAGAAGAGATTCTATAAGGGGTCTTCATGGAAATATGGATTATGAAAAACTATGCATGGGGCCGCTGCCTGTGTCGCCAGCATCACATATGGGCTCAAGGTGAGTCCCAGCTGCTCCACTTCCAATCCAGCTCTCTGCTATGGCCTGGGAAAGCAGTGGAAGATGAGCCAAGTGCTTGGGCCCCTGCATCCACGTGGGAGACCCAGAAGAAGCTCCTGGCTTTAGCCTGGCCCAGCCCTGGCTATTGGGCCACTTCAGGAGTGAGCAGCGGATGGAAGACCTCTCAGTCTCTTTCTCTGTCTCTTTCTCTCTTAGTATAAGTCTGGTTTTAAACAAAAGGAATGAAAGAAAGAAAAAACTTATGCGTGGATTTCCAAAGTTGTCTGCATCAAATTAAACTCAACTTTTCATGTCTGTTCCTATGAGCTTTCTGTAGTATCCTCACATTAAACCATTCATAGACACGCTTGATAAGACACATCCCATAACCACACTCATTCCAGCCCTGTCGTTAAGCATTTCCCGGGTCCAACTGAAGGGACAACTTGAAAACTGCGAAGATCAGATCTGTAGTATTCTCACCACACCCACACCAATGGTTGAGCACATGAGGTGACCAACGTGCTAATAATCAGCTTGGTTAATCATTCCATAGTGTACCAGTGCATATATATGTACATATACACACATATATATCAATGCATCACAATGTATACTGGAAATATATATTGTATTTGTCAATCAATTCACAATTTTATTTGTCAATGAGGGGGGGGGGATAATTTTTTTTAATTAAAAATGCCAGGAGGGTCCTAGCACAAACTGCAGAATGCTGTGAACTCAGCCCTCCTCCTCCCCCTGCACTTGACAACACCACAGAACCTCCAAGCATCCACTACTGATGGACACAGCATGGGTGGTGGATGGCCCACGCCTCTCTTCTAAACGTGCCACTCAGGGAGCCTGGCCCCACAAGGCGAGAGAAACCAGCCTCTTGGGTTCTAGTGTAGTATAATTAGAACTTTTACTTGAGAGTTTTTAAAAATAAACACTGCTGACACATCTCAAAAGGAGAAAGCATATTCAGAACTCTGATATTTTCAGGTAATGGCTCACTCCCCCTTCCTTTCCCTTGGCACTGGATGAGTAATTCTGTGTCTTTTGTCACTAGTGCTCTAGGACCAGGCAAAGAATCTGGGAATGGGGATGGAGCTCGCGAAACGCCCCCTCGGGCTTACCTTCTCCAGCTTCTCTTGGAGTTCCTGAATTTTGAGCTGCTGTTCAGCATTGATCTGTAAAATCCCAGGAAATAAGGCAAAAGGCAAATCAGCATTAAAGTCTTGCTACACTGAGTGCAGTCCTACGTTCTTGAGGTTTTACTGGGGTCTCCCTGTGTTCTTTTCCAGAACCTACTCAAGGAGAGGATGAGAAGAGGAATGATGGCCTTTCACGGGAGATGGGGCTGTCTCAGTGCAGTGCAAGTCTCCATGCTATTTCTCTAAGACCAGCAACACAGAAATGGCAAACAGAGAGTCCAAGTCGCCCCACCCCTCCATCAGAATCTCCCTGTGTTATTAAGCAGCTGTGTTTATGGATGATCATGGGCAGGCAGGACAAAACATGGCATCTAGCTCTTTTAGAACCACAGCTAACGGTCAATGTGCTCACCCAGAGGTGGACCCTCAAAATAAGCCTGGAAGACACTTCTCAAGGCGTTGCAAGCATATTCTTAATCAATGACTGGCCACTGATAGCAATACTTAAAAAAAAAAGCACCCACAGCGGCAAAGCCAATCATGGAAAATGTACCTTCTCCAGTTTGGAATATTCACCCACTTCAGGCTTCCCTTGATCCTTAGCCTGTAAGGAAGGAAAAGGTAACAGCAGAGGGTTACAGGGAGCTGGATACAGGCACCAAACCAGAGGTAGATGGAAGGATTCTGTTCCTAGTGTCAAATAACATGGCGGGTGACTGTAGTTCACAACAGCATTTCATACTTTTCTCGGAATAAAAGAGAGGAGCTGGAAGGCTCCAATTACAAGGTAATGACAAACAGAGGAAACGTGAATGTCCCTGATTTGATCAGCACGCGCTGCACACAGGTATTGAAATGTTGCACTGCACCCCATAAACATGCTCCGTTGTTATTAAACATGCTCATCCCAAAACCTTTGTTAAATGTTTAAAGGGATGGAAACGCTAACTAACTTGGTAGGATCTTCACACACTGAATACGAACATTGAATTACCATAGTACGTACATAAATATGTACAAATAGTCAGTTGAAAAGGATACGACATACTGGGAAAAACTAACAACCTAAAAGTCTATAGACAACTCTACCTGGTATACTTTCCTGCTCTCTGGAATCAAAATAATAATCATAAATGATAAGAACCTTATCTTCCACACATAACGACCATGCGCTTCCCAAGGTGCCCCATAATCTCTCCGACCTGTGCTCCTGCTAAGCTCACCCATCGCTGCACCCACAGGCGCCCTCCTGGGGGTAGACTACCTTCATCAGTTTGTGCTGGCACTCTGTCGCTTTCCGCTTGAACTCCTCGGCGGCGAGCCGAGACTCTCTCAGCTCGGATTCGTAGAGGTCACTGCGTCGTCTCGCAGACACGAGGTCCTCTTCCAACTGATTCATCATCAACCTCATCTCCTCCACCTGAGCCTGGTACTCCTAAAGCACGGGCAGTGGAATAAAGGGGAACTTAGACTTCCCAACAGAAGAGGCAGTGGAGAGGGAAGAACACCGGCCACCATGGGAAGGCGCACTTGGAGGAGAGATTGGCAAAGAACAGATCTAGAAGCCCCGGGAGACGTGGAGTAGAAAAGATGGAGCCACGGGACGGGCGTTTGATGCAACAATTAAGATGCTGCCTGGGACATCTGCCTCCCATATCCGAGTCCCTGGGGTCAAGTCTCATGTCCACTTCCAATTCCAGCTTCCAGCTAATGCGCACCCTGGGAGGCAGGAGTGGATGACTCAAGTAGTTGGCTTCATGCCAACCCTGTAGGACACCCTCTCCCCAGCGGTACTCCTCACCCAGCCCTGGATGTTGTAGGACTTTGAAAATGAACCAGCAGGTAGGGTGTGTGTGTGTGTGTGTGTGTGTGCATACATGCAAGCCTTTCAAATCAATAAAACAAATATTTCACCAGAAAAAAAAAAAAAAAAAAGATGGACCCAGAAAGAGACACCAAGTACGCAAAGAGGGTGGTGTTGGGGAAAGAAGGAGAAAAGAACAGCCAGTCTCGAAACGGAATGTAGAACGTGGATCATAAGGAAACCACAGGGAACACATGTGCTATAATGAGACACCCTGGAAGTGGGTGTTGCATGTAGCAGGACACCTGCAGCCCTCAACAGAATGCTGCTTGAGTCCCGGCTCCTCTGCTTCTGATCCAGCTTTCTGCTAATGCTTCCCGGGAGCCAGTGGATCACGGCCTAATAACTGGGTTCCTGCCACCCACGTGGGAGAACCTGATGGCGTTCTGGGTTCCTGGCTTCAAGCCCTGACTGTTGCAAGCATTTGGGAAGTGAACCAGTGAATGAATAGAAGACATCTCTCACTCTTGCTCTTTCTTTCAAGTAAAAAAAAAAAATTTTTCAGAAAAAAGTAGAAACTATAATTAAAAATATTTTTAAAAATCTTCTGAGCAAATGATACCACATAATATGCACAGAGCCTTAAGACTTCGACACAAGACAGCCGAAAGGGATTCTGTTCCCTTGGCAGAGAAACTGCTTCCTGGGGGTTTCCTCCAAGGGTGGCCACTTCTACGGATTTGTCCTTCGGAAGTCAAGAGCCTCTAAGGCAATTAGACATGGTTCTAGTTTTTAAAATTAACCTTTCAGACGGCGCAAGGGGGTAATTGGAGTCTCAGTAGAAGGCATTCCGGAAGGTGAAAATCATCATTGTCAGTTTCTCACCATTAATTTTTCTGGGCCCAAAACTGAAGGATGAACTTAACGTTGCAAGTCACCCTGAAATCTGGAGGACTCACCAAACTCTGGCTCTGGACAAATGTGAGAAAAGCGCCAGGGAAAGAGCAAACTTGTCCCCTCGCGCGACCCTGGACGGTGAGCCAAGCCAGCCCCTTCTTTCCCAAAGGGAACTTTTTAAAAGCAAAACAGAACAGTTGGGTTGTGGCTATTCATGACTGGATTTGCCACAAGAAACGGGCAATGGTTTGGGGAGCTTTTTGGACAAGGTGTGAAGATGTTCTTTGCGGCAAGATCAGGGCTAAGTGTAAGAATTGTGAATAAGCATGTCTCTAACCCAAGGCGCCCGGGGTGGGGTAGGGTGGGGTAGGGTGGGGAGACAATTAGAAGAACAAGGGACTGGGTGGAGATGTCTTTGACGTGAACAGCATACGGTAACATCTCTGAGACCTGTTCTCCCAGGAAATAATTATGCCAGCATAATTTTTAATCAACAAATTGTAATTTACTGACGGGGTACAAAGGTGACCTCTCACTCCACTGCAAAAGCAGATCCTCCCGGCCCACACTGAAGGGGAAGCAAGGCTCTTAACAAAAACCGGTTTTCCACACCTCTCCCTGTGTTAGCAGAAAGTTTGGCCCTGGGGTCGGGGGGAAGGGGGCTGACTTGGAGCAGGGTCTCGTTTCTCTCCCTCCTGCCCAAAGACCAGCCCTGGGGAGGGTGAGACACACAGGTTCCCCTGGTTGGTAGCCACTAAGCAGGGGAAGGCAGAGGATACAGAGATCTCACAACCAGCTCCCAGTCGTGGGAACACACAGAGGGGAGTGAGAGCCACGGGGAGACAGGACGCCCTCTGCCTGGCGCTGTCCTGGCCCCTCACTCAGCCAGGGCCCCATTGTGACTTTCATGGCTCTTGGAACTGAGCCTTCCGTGACCCCTTCCTCTGTGAAAATGACACTGTGGCGCAGCGGGAGAAGCCGCTATCCAAGAAGCCAGCATCCTGTATGGGCGCCGGGTCATGACCTGGCTGCTCCACGTCCAATCCAGTGCCCTGCTAATGCGCCTGGGAAGACAGCAGAAGATGGCCCAAGTGCTTAGGCCCCTGGACCCACGTGGGAGACCCAGATGAGGGGAGACCTGGATGGAAGATCTCTCCCTCTGTCTCTGTAACTCTGCCTTTCAAATAAATACATCTTTTAAAACAAATTACATGTGATGATATATTAATATAAATGCAAAAATGTTTATATTATCTATAAAAAGTGACTTTTTGGCCTAAAAGCTCAATCTTTTTTAATTAAAAAAAATGGAAACATTTTAAGGGACCCTAAGAGTCTAACGGCCCCTGTGCCCACTGTGCCTAATGGAAAAACCAGCCCTGCCCACAGGCACAGACACCAAGCTGTGCAGACGAGGAGGAGCTGCGGCAAGTTGTACCCTCAGACTCTCTTTTCTTTCCTGAATTCAGGTCAGAGAGAGAGGGAGAGGGGGGGGGGAAGGAGGGAGAAGAGAGAGAGGAGAGCGAGACAGAGGAGAGGGAGAGGGAGAGCGAGAGCTGTCTTCCTGTCCCAGCATGGAGGGACCCACAAGTCTGAGCGGCATGATCAGATGCGAGAGCTGGGGACGAGAGCCGAGTCCCACCCACGCCAGATATTCCAAGTGGATCCTCAGAATTTGAGGGAGGGGGAACAGACATGCTCTTAGCCACTCACAAACCCTGGGACACAGCAACTTGGGCATTACCCTCACTTCGCTTCCCTTCCCTAAGGAGGGGGGATGAGGAAAAATCAGTTAAAAGGGTAGGAATCAAACGACCGCATAGGACTCTCGGGTGTCCTTTTAAACCAAATCCGAAGACTCTATGGGGAGTGGCTGAGTGGCAGCTCTCGAGAGAAGAGCAGGGAAGAAGTCCCAGAGCTGGGTGGAATCGGTGCGCTGCGAGCATTAACACTCTGTCCAGGTCTGCAGATCCCCTGCGCTCCCCGAGACTCCCACAGGGCCCCTGAATAGATCCTTCTCATTTAAGAAATAAAATCCAAGAAGCTTTCTTTGCCCCCTAAGCGGAACTTCTGGTGGTCCTTAAATCTGAAACGCCACATGCTTGCCAGCTGGGAGATGAACCATAGAAGACACCACTTTGAACCCAACCATCAGCGTGGACCTCTGCAAAATGCCCTGATCATTTCAGTTTCTATGGGATTCGGTTTCTATGGGACCCCAGCTGCTCCCTCTGGTGGCCAAAGACAGCTTTCATTTCCCCGGGAAGTCACCAAAAGTAAATTTCCAAACACATTGAACCCGTGGGAGGGTTTAAAAAAAAAAAAAAAGAACCCTCCCTCGTGTAACTTCTAGGATGAAAAACGGGTGTCGATAAAAGGAGCAGGAGTCACCTGTGAGCAGATTCGAAGAGCACGTGCCCTTCCAGATCTCTAGGGATAGTGCTGTGCCGTGCACACACGCAGGGATCCACTTGCCAAGTGTCCAATGCACATCTCTTTATAACGTTTCTTGAGAGGACATTAACCCATCACTTTAAAATATTAAGGCGATACGTTTATTTTGCCAACAAAATCCCAAAGGCGGCAACTCGTACTTTGAAGAGTAAGTCAAGGATGGAGTTATTTGCAAGAGTTTCTTACATTAGCACCACCCAGATGGCCAAGTTTGTGTTACTCGGAGACAAAAATGTTCATTTCCAGCAGTGTTTCCATTAGGTTTTTTGAAGTGAATGAGAGTTGCCTGGCAGCTGATCATTCAGCTCCCCAATTACTCATTGCCATCGCTTCATTAAAGTTTCTATTTACAGTTTCTTCAAAAGACAGAAAAATCCATGCTAAAAAGGAAACAATGAGGCAATATAAAAATGAGCCATCTACAAAAAAAAGACTCATTTAGAATGGGGGTTGGGGGGGTAGAGTGGGCTTTTTAAAGGTCCCCGTTCTCTTTTCTGGACCCACAGGGAACCAGTTTTCTGCACTCGGATATGCCATGTTGCTTCGGACTTGGCCTGAACAACGAACTTTCCTTCTAGAATGTTTCTGTACAGAGCTAAAACTCTGGGGGCTAGCACTGTGGTGTAGCAAGTTAAAGTCCCAGCACCCCATATGGGCATGCCAGTTCAAGCCCGGCTTTTCCACTTCTGATCCATCTCCCTGCTAATGTGCCTGGGAAAGCAGCGGAGGATGACCCAAGTCCTTGGGCTCCTGCACCAAGGTGGGAGACCTGGCAGAAGCTCCTGGCTTCAGACTGGCTCAGCTCCAGCCACTGAGGCCATCTGGGGAGTGAACCAGCAGATGGACGACCCCTCTAAGTCTCTAGCTGTCTAACTCTTTGAAATAAATACAATAAATCTTAAAAAAAAAAAAAAAAAGTAAAATTCTGAATTGCCTTGGCTTCCCCCCAGAAAAGCCATAAAAGCATTTTCTCTGTTAACCTTCAGTAGCAGGTTTGGCAGCAAGTGGCTCCAGTTCCGCAGACTTGCCAGTCTCTGCAGGAACCATTCGCCCTGGCTCTGTGGCAGGAAGCCGCTGTGGCCATGTTCCCATAGAACTGAGAGGTAGATGTTAAAATGTCAATTTCACAGAGCTTCCACATATCACAAAATACTATTTGTCTTTTGATAATTTTTCTCTCAATCATCTATAAATGAAAAACCCACCCCTGGTGGGCAGGCATTAGTCCTAGTGGTTCAGACACCCGTGGTCCCACACGGGAGCACATGGGTCGATGCCGGGCTCTGGCTCTTGAAGCCAGCTTCCTGTGAGTGCAGGCCCTGGGAGGCATCAGTGCTGGCCCACGGGCTTGGGTCCCTGCCACCCACGTGGGAGACCTGCACTACGCTCCCAGCTCCCAGCTTCGGTCCCAGCTGAAGGGCAACCATGGAGTGTGGGGAGTGAACCAGTAGATAGGATCCATCAATCGATGGATCCATCTCTTAAACAATTTTAAGGGCATCTGTAGCTGTGGGCCAGATCTGTCACACGGGCAGCTGCAGTTTGCCTGCTCTTGCTCTAAGCCAACATCTTTCTTACGAGGATCAGACGTTATGGGGTGCAGACTTCACAGGCAGCTGGAACAAGTACAGCACGACTTATGTAAATCACAGGGCATCTGAAGTTTCTGAATGACCTACATACCTTGCTGCCCCCACCCCCGTGTCTCTCCGGAGACGCGCGGTCTGAGCTGGCCGGGGAACGGCGGCCATACCTGCTCTTTGATCTCCTGGAGCTTCCGGCTCTGCTCCCTGATATCATGGAGAAGCTGCAGTGCTTTGTCATCCTCCTGGGACACCTCCATCCGCGCTTGCTCCAAACTTCGCTTTAAGCTCTGCGGAAAGCAGAAATGTTAACAGGGATGCCCTGTGGAGCCTGCTCTGTTTGAAAAGGTTCATTAAGAGAGAGCGAGAGAGAGAAAGACAGCGAGAGGGCTGTGAGCTGCTCCGCACACACCAGCAGGGTCTCGGGGGATGGGTCAAAGTTGATAGCTCCCCGGTGGGTGCCAATTCCAGCTTCCGTCCTGTAAAAGCTTTTGGTTCAAGAAACATCACGTGCCTGAAGGGACCCAGCCTGAACCTGCGCCTGCCTGCCTCCTACCACCTGCCCTAGCGGTGTCCTAGCAGATACTTACTTGAACGCTCAGGACTGAACACCAACAAGATCCCTCAGCTGTTACAACCAGCCGGGATGGCTTCGACAGCCTTTTCTCGCAGTATCAGCGATCTGAGGGCTCGCGAGCCTAAGACGCCTCGCCTCTTACGAAGCAGCTATGACTTCATCCAGCCCAGTTGTCATGGAGGACTCCAAGTCATCTATTCCCACCCCCACCCCCCGGCTTATTTTTCCTGGACACTTTTCATCCGTCAGCTTCCCTCAACGCTTCCACGGGACTGAAATATGTATCTGAGATACAGAGCTGAATAGCTTCACCCACCACTGCCAGGCAGCCAAGTCTGCAAGGGAAACATAGCAGTTATTCTTAATCAGCCACGTTCTATAGATTTCCTCTCCCTTGTGAAAAAACAACAACAACAAAAAAAAAAAACTTGGAAAACGTGTGATTCAACTTCTTGAGACTGTTTAACTGGGCACATTAGGAAAACACCTGAATGGAGAAGTTAACAAGACAATGGAGAAGACAGTCTACTCTTGTGAGCAAAGGAAAAACAAAATCACATGGTAAATAATGACAGAGGGCCTTCGTGTCCCTGCACTGCTTCTAGGGGCTGGAAAAGTCATTAGAAGTAGGTTTTCTTGCGTGTGTCTGGCAGTGTGGATCCTAAGGCTGATCGCGGTGCACATGGTGTAGTGCAGGGAGGCTGGGATGGGAGGCGTGGTGACCGGGGCCACTTGCTGCCACGGCCACTGACTCCCATCTCAGGCTCCACACGGCCTGCGCTCTGCCCGGGCTTCCTGCTGGGAACGGCTCGGCCTCACGTCCCGGGACCTGGTGCCTGGCTCTCGCTGCTCCGCGAGCCACGGGTCTTGCTTCCCTACGCTTCCTCTCTCTACGCTCTGCCGTCGGCTGTGATGTGCCTCATGGAGCCGTCATGGAACAGGATGAGACACACACAACAGGAAGTGCCACCTCCAAGGGAAGGGGGCTTCGGGGGAGGCTCACACTGCATTCTGTGATGTAGGTAGCAAGGTCCTGCTCCAGGAGGGATCTCTGAGTCTCAGAGGCCTTCAGCTCCACCTCCTTCTGACTAAGCACAGCCTCCACCTCTGACACTCTCCGATGTAACCGGGTCATTTCCTGCTCCATCTGCAACAAACACATCGACAGGTTAAAAGGGCCCGCGGAGGCTCGCCGGGAGCAATCAAATCGCAAGTAGCAGCCTCCGAAGCCACGTGGTGGCCCGGGCTATCGCTAAGTTGCCAGAAGCTGGGATGTGTGCAATACCATTGCTTCTTCGCCCAGGAGCGCGCAGTTCTTCGTAAGGACAGTCACCGAGTGCTAAGTCACTCCTCTCATCCAAGTCTCGCTTCACACTCGATCACTTCTCTAACCCAGTTAGCAAGGAAGTCACAATCATCTTTTGTCACCTGTGTGTGTGTTTTGGTTTGGTTTGGTGTGGATTTTGGTTTTGCAGACGTCACTTTAACTTTATCCCAAATCCATCTTGGTTCCCCCCCATCTCCTTGCAAAGATCTAGAGGACAAATCCAGGACAGGGCAAGGAGTTATTGGTGCGTCTGCCCTCTTAGGAGTCCCAGGCAAGCAGTGACTGCTATCAGTCTCCAAAGAGCTGCCTGCAGCAGGAGCAGTGAGCGTCAGGAGGCGCTGAGCATAACCAACACAGTGGCCGCAGTGACAGTGCAGGAGTGCTAAGAGACTACGAAGACAGACTTCGCATCACTCAGTGCAGATGGGGTGCGTCTCAGCCACAGAAGAGGGCCCAGCCACCTGCCGGAAGGAGCACACATCTGGCTGGCTCACGCTGAGAAACGGGGCCGCGTTAAATCCAGGCCCTCCTCAGGTTAAGATTTAAAGGATTTACAGCAACGTCAAGGCCCAAGTGCATCTCCCTCGGAGCTGCTGGAGGCGCGACTTCGGCGAGGCAGGGAGCGCCTCGCTCTCTACGGATCAGGTGGCTCAGTGCCAGCTGCAGCCCCGGGCGGCTCCCTTGGCATAGATGGACGGGAGGATCCTGGAGCAAGGAGGGAGGCCGGCTGAGGCAATAAATACCTTGTGACACTTGTCCTGAGAGTCCTGCAGCTCTTTGCTTTTGATGAGAAGTTTCTTTTCCATCGAGCTAGTCTTGGCAGGGGAGTCCAGACTCGACACGACAGACCTAGGCAGAGGAAAACCGGGGTCAAGACGGCTGGCAGGTGGGCCCGAGATGCCACCGAAGGCCATCAGATGCTGCAGTGGAGACCACGGCCCTGCCAGCATTCCGCAACTGGAGCAGCTTCTAATGGCACTAGAGCCACAAGGCAGGCGGGCAGGCAGAAGGAAGCGCGAACTCCGGAAACAGGTGGACCTGGTGTAACTTCAGTTGCCACCGACAGCCTCTCTGAGCCTCAGTTTGCACATCCATAAGCTGGGATGATAATAAAGCACCTCCCACACGGGAGAGTGTGATCGTGAAACGCACGCCTCCACTCACTCACTCACTCACTCACCACGTATGTACAGTGCACCTCTTCTGTTCCAGAAACTGTTCTGGGCACTGGCACGTAACAGTGAACAAAAGAGAACACATCCCCCTGCCCTCTTTGTGCTGACCATCTATGGAAAGCAGACAGAAAGCGTCGGCAGACACATAAACAAGAAGGTTACAGGCGACGGTAACTTCTGTGAGAAAACAGGATAACGTGATACCATAGAGGAAATGGGGCTGGGCTTGTTTTAAGCAAGGGTGACCAAGGAAGTCTTCCTGGAGGAGGGGCTATTTGACCTGTGATATTAAGGATCAGGTGTTGGCCAACAAAGTGCTGGAAGGAAACAAGTTTCAGAAAGAAAGGAGAGCAAATGCAAAGGCCCTGAGGCAGGCCAGAACTAACACAGCTGGATGCAACGATTGCTGATGCTGCCCTAGTCAAAGTAGTGTTTACCAGCCGGTTTGATTCAGCTTACTTGATGAAAATAGTAATGCAGGGGGCGGTGCTGTGGCACAGCAGGTTCGAGTCCCCACTGCTCCACTTCCAATCCAGCTCCCTGCTAATGTGGCTGGGGAAGCACTGGATGGGGGGGGATGATGGTGCAGCAGGCACTGTGGAGTAATGCAGTAAGCTGCCACTTGCCACACTGGCATCGCACCACTCAAGTGTGAGCTCCAGATGTTCCACTTCTGATCCAGCTCCCTGCTGATGAGGCCAGGGAGCAACAAATAATGGTCCAGTGATGGTCCAAGTACTTGGGCTCTTGCCACCCACATGGGAGACTAGGATGGAGATACTGGCTCCAGGCTTCAGCCTGGCCTAGCCCCAGCTTTGCAGCCATTTAGAAAATGAACCAGGCCGGCGCCGCGGCTCAATAGGCTAATCCTCCGCCTGCAGCGCCGGCTCTGCGGGTTCTAGTCCCAGTCGGGGCACCAGATTCTGTCCTGGTCACTCCTCTTCCAGGCCAGCTCTCTGCTGTGGCCCGGGAGTGCAGTGGAGGATGGCCCAAGTGGTGGGGCCCTGCACCCGCATGGGAGACCAGGGGAAGCACCTGGCTCCTGGCTTCGGATCAGTGTGGTGTGCCGGCCGTGGCGGCCATTGAGGGGTGAACCAATGGCAAAGGAAGACCTTTCTCTCTGTCTGTCTCTCTCACTGTCAACTCTGCCTGTCAAAAATTAATTAATTAATTAATTAATTAATTTTAAAAAAAAAAGAAAGAAAATGAACCAGCAGATGGAATCTCCTCTCCCGACCCCTGCCTTTCAAATAAATACACAGAAGTTTTAAAAAAGAGGAAGAAAGTAAGTTGTCCACCAAGTGGTGTGCCTCTCTGGTTGGTACTCTGGGTACAAACACTGGGACAGGTGAAGGGCAGGGCCAGCTGACAGCCGCAAGCATTCTTACACATGCAGGGACCAGGCCCTCGCAGCCCCACAGTCCTGTCTATCATCTTGCTCCCAGGGTTGCAGGAGCTGGCTGTCCACGACCAGCCTGCCTTAAAGAGTTCCTTGGCTAAAAGAGGTCAGCTCTCTGCAGCATTGCAAAGCATCCCTCCTGGGCAGCACCTGGCCCCATGATAAGGGTGGGCAGGATGGTGCTGGCCCTCTACACTCATACACAGCACAGCTAGGTGAGTCAACACGCAGAGGCGCACCGTCCTGCTCCAGACCTGACCCTGCCAAGCACCAGCTGTGACCTCTCTGAACCTCCACCTCCTCATCTAGACAATAGGGGTAATCCTCCACCTGCTTGCTTGTGGGGACTAAAGGGGACAAGGCAGCAAAGCCCTGAGCACAGCGCCTGGCACTCTGCGAAGGCTCACACACATCACCTGTTACTATGATCCTTGTCATTTTCATCATGATCGCCCAGGCAAGCTCACAGAAAGCACACGCCTCACAGGCCTGAAACGGTTGCCTAAAATGGGAGAACTCGGGGCTGAGCAGGCTCTGTGCTGCTAGTCAGGTGCAGACCAATGTTGATTATTTGCAGAGAGGGGCAGCGGGGATCAGCATCCAGAAATTAACTTTTTGGAAAAATTTCATGTTTGCCTAGAAATGTTAACCAAGTTCTACACCTCTCACCAGCCTGTTTTCTGCCTAAATGTATTCAACACACACACACACCCACGCACACACACCCACGCCCGGGATTGTGCACGCACCCACGCTCCCGCACATACCCATATGCACACGGGCATAGGCACCCATGCACACACCCACGACCCCACATACACATGGGCGCACACGCACACAGGCACTCTTCTCTGTACGAGGTGAGATGGTTGCTGGGCACCGCCTGGGCTTTCCTTCGCCACACCCTCTGTTACCGAAGGTGCTCTGGCAGGTGGGCTGCAGAGCGAGGCCCACTCCCCACAAGGAGGCAGGGCCAAGTCAGACTCCAGAGCCAGCTGCGCATCGCACAGTCACACGCATGATATGCATGGCAGACGACAGCACGGGCCACAGCTCTGTGTGGCCTAGGCACAGACGGGCACCCTTTTAGGAGAAGGGGCACACAGCCGTGTCATGCGCAAGGGTGGGGGCGGGAGGGGAGTCGCAGCTCGGGAGGCTTCCCGACACGTGGTGGGCAGGCTGCAGAGGTGCTTCACGTTTGGAACGTGCTGCTGTGGGAGCAGCGCAGATTGCCGATTCACAAAACGCACTTCTAGGTCACTCGTCGCGGAGCCCAGGATACAGGCGCTGTGTGCCCCACCCCCACCCCCACCGGGGCCAACTCCTTCCCCCCGCTGTTTACATGATCTAAGTACAACACGTAAGAGCAGTCCAGGATAAAGACGCTAAAGAAATTATTCTTTCTCGGATAAATAAAAGTCACATTAACAAAAAAAAAAAAAAAAGCTACAGTAGGAAAGCAAACAGCGACCAGCCTTGGCTTGTAGCAGCAATTCCTTCTTGCAGGATGAGGCCAGGAGACGGGGGAAGGCCCATGGCCGTGTTCTGTGACCTCCAGACCCCGGCCAGGCTGCGCGGCACAATCGCCCGGAGAGCTTTTCACAAACACGGATGTGCAGGGTCCACCAGGCCCACTACCTCTCATGTGTAGACAGGACTAAGGTCTGAAGTGCCTGCCACTTAGGGTTAGGCTTTTCAAACTCATAGGGTGGGGCGGGCGTGGTGGCACAGCAGGTGAAGCCGCCACCTGCAACACCTGACATTCCATGTCAGAGGGCTGGTTCAAGTCCCTGCTGCTCCACTTCCAATCCAATTCCCTGTTAACATGCCTGGGAAAGCAGTGCAAGTTAGCCTGAGGACTTGGGCTCCTGCCACCCATGTAGGAGACCCGGATGGAGTTTAGGGCTCCTGGCTTCAGCTTGGCCCTGCCTCAGTCATCTTGGCCATGTGGGGAATGAACCAGCAGACAGAAGATCTCGGTCTCTCCTATCTCTGTAACCCTGCCTTTCAAATAATAACTTTTTAAAAAGAAATATGAAAACTCATCTTCCCTTAAAACAAAAAATTCACAGGAGGACTAGTGTAAGCATTCGGCTCCACGTGGCATTTGGGCCAGGCCTTCTCATCCCGGTGCCTTTTGGTCACTCTGAGTGGGAAGCCAATTTTGAAAATAATCACGGCAGGGTAAGAAGTTCAAGATAAGACACAGGTGTCAGAGAATGATTAAATTGTATTCTACTAAAGTCAATTAAAATAGACAACTTCCATGAATTCCGATACAAGAAATACACTAGACGCATTTGGTTCAACTTAAAATACTTACATTCTACTTCTTTTTCATAGAGACACTTAGGGTAAGTCGATTCCCAGCCCCAGTGGTTTGCTCTTGGTGTGCATTTCCAAAGGAAGTAGAGCCACGCACACCTTCGATAGATACGCTGGAGTATCCTCACAATCCGTTTCTCTCTCTCTTTTTTTTTTTTTTTTTTTGACAGGCAGAGTGGACAGTGAGAGAGAGAGAGACAGAGAGAAAGGTCAGGTCTTCCTTTGCCATTGGTTCACCCTCCAATGGCCGCCGCGGCCGGCACACCGCGCTGATCCGATGGCAGGAGCCAGGTACTTCTCCTGGTTTCCCATGGGGTGCAGGGCCCAAGCACGTGGGCCATCCTCCACTGCACCCCCTGGCCACAGCAGAGAGCTGGCCTGGAAGAGGGGCAACCGGGACAGAATCCGGCGCCCCGACCGGGACTAGAACCCGGTGTGCCGGCGCCACAAGGCGGAGGATTAGCCTAGTGAGCCACGGCGCCGGCCCACAATCCGTTTCTCGGCTAGGACTTTCATTAGCCCTCCTTCTGACTTTGAAAGCAATGGCAAATTATTGCCGATAATTACATTACTCTGGGACTGACCACAGTGTCAATCGCTGCTTGAGAGCTTCAATCCAAGGCTGGCCTCCAAGCCAGCAGCCTATGACCAAATACAGCCCTAGGCGCTTCAGGCAGCAACTCCGCTGGTCTAAAATCATCTTTAAAAGCGCCACTTCATCAGGCATGGTGTTATTTAAAGAGCTGATACTAGTGTTGCTTTAAGGCATGGTATTTTTAAGAACTGATACTATTGTTGCTTTAAGGCATGGTATTATTTAAAAGCTGATACTAGTGTTGCTTTCAGCAACATGTTTTTAAAAACTCCTGGAACCGGTTGCAACTCCAAAGCTAGGGGCAATGAGATGCAGAATTACAATAAGGAAACTATCCAGTGATGAAGCTCCATTG